GTGTTACGTTTCATACAATGAATTCATAGTTCAGTAAACCTTCTTAAAAAAAATGTTGGTCGATTCCGAGATTTGAATTATCACGTTTCTTCTGTGAATATCATTATTAGCAACAGAAATAATGTCATCCGATAGTATGCCATTGAAAACATCGTTCTAAATATTCGAAGCTCATATAGATATAGTTGGGCAGGGATCATACTTTATTTACATATAAACTAATTGCCTTTGAAATCTAGAACCTATGAAACACCCTTTAGGCATATTTTGATGTAAACATACTAATTAAAGCTCAAACTTTGCGCGAAATCAGTCAATTTAGGGATATCTTCTATTGCGATGAGATGTTCAGTATAATATTTATTTCATACATGACAGTATCAATATAAAATTACATCTATCAATAATAAAAAAACATTAACTAAAGATGAAGAATTTCTATTTTTATAAGATTTGTCTAGCTTGCATGAATATATTGTAAAGCAAGCTTTTGACTTTAAACTATGTGTAATAAAATAGAATGTATTGATATACACTATACTTTTATAGCAAGTATATTTCGATGACTTTGCGGATGAAGATATAATCAATTCTTTAGTCACTGTTACGATCCCTATGTTTGAAGGATTTTTGATAGTAAAAAAAAAAATATATATATATTTAAATAATTCATGTTCTCTACTGAAACAAATGAGAATGAAAAGAAAATTCATTATTATAATATTAAAAGTTTTAAATAAATCTCAATCGGGTTTTAAACGATGTACTTATTATGATTATTTTTATTCGTTTTTAAATCATATCCTTTTTATATGATAACTCATTTTGAATGATTCATAATTTTTAACATATGCGAACGTATATAACGAAAAATATCTTCTATCGATAAGAATTGTTTTCACACATTCTTTTCGACAATGATATTTACCTATTAATTATAATTATCAAATATTTGTATTTGCTATATATAATTAGCTGATCGATTCTATATATTTACAATCGTCTAATTCGAAATGAAAGAATGCACGAACGAATTAAATAGGCATTTCGAAAAAAAAAGAAAAAGTAAATAAAACTTCTGTCGTTCTCACCTTTTTTGTAACACGTTCATAACATTTATCATAAGATATGAACTTAAAAGAAAAAAAAACCTAGGTTACCAGAAGAAACAGAATTGACAAACTCAGAAAAAGTTTATTGATTTAAGGAATAAAAAATAAAGGGCAATGAATGATTCGTGTCGCATGACGAAGAAGAAAAAATACGAACAAAGTAACAATATAAAGAAACTCAAATAGTCAAGTACTATTCATATATCAATGAGAAAGGAAAAAATTTTCTTGTTGCATTGACAATTTAAAATACAAGTAAAATATGAGAGTACGAACAATGAAGCATGATTTAAAGTCAATCTTTTTTTTCTGCTTGCTGTAAACATATACCAAATATCAATAGACATACATGTGATTATAGAAAGCAAAAATTTTTTTGGCATTTTTTTCGTCATCGTTGGATAGAGCTTAACGGATTACCTATAAGAATATTGTTTTCGGACTCATTCAGACAATGTTTTTGTAGAAAAATTTAGAGAAATTAGGTTAAAAAAGTCAAAGAAGATTGTAAAAATAAAAATATGCCAAAAATATGAAGTCTCAGTAGCCTTAATATTTATCCGAATTATATTTTTGATTTTACTCGTCATATAATTAGGAACAATATCATACATGCGTTTCAGTAGTGTAGAAGCCCTTAACTCGTTACGACTTTTAAACTTCTTCAACTATTAAATTTTATAACTCGAATATTTGCGTTTTCAACTATCCCATGGCATCCATAGCTGGTATTGTGAGAATTAAAAAAAACGAGCTCGAAATCCTTAAATTCACCGTCAATGTTTTACCAATCAGCTATGCGCCTAGGCAAAGCATCCACATCTCAACCCTTCAGTATTCGAAAAGGGGCTCCTGAGCATCATACATAGGCTTTCCAGGAATTCTCAGAACGTTCTTAAATGTACCATACAAGGTCTCTAACGGGTCTCTCGGCGTTCTCCGCGCCATAACTAGAGATCTTCACGGATTCTTAGTGGATACCTAGGGATCCATAGAAGATCGTAAACAAATCCTTATCCAAGCACCAGATAATTCTAAGGGGACCCCACAGGCTATGCTGTGATGGTCTGTGCGATCCCCTGGAGATCGCTGCAGGCTTCCTTTGAGATCAATAGTTGTAAACTCGAATATTTCAATTATAAAGTTAAATAGTTGATAATCTCAATAGAATTTTTTAATAGAAATTGGATAGTCGCGCCAAAGATACGAGATTTTTTTTTTTGGCTTTTTGTATTTGATGACTAATACACCTTACACATTTTTCAGACGACTAGAGTTCATCAGGGTCAAGATTTTTAGATCAGGAACCAACTCGATTAGATCTATTCGTGTTCAGGCACTCTTTTGAGTTGCTGATCTACAATCTATATTAACTCTTAACCGTCTATACGAAAAACAAATGCAATAAGTTGCCAAAAAATATGTCTAGCTATACATGAATAAAAACGAAAAGATTGCGAAGAAAGAATTGGTTACTACTATGAATGAAAGAGAAAAATGATACCATCATACACAAAATAGATGATTGAATGGATATTCCACCCAAACGAATGAGAAAATTAATATAAATAATACGGAGATGAACAAAATAAAACTGAAAAGACAAAAAAAAAAGAACAAAAAATAATATACATTTCAACATGGATATAAATCATTTGGTCGTTAAAACAAACTTTTATGAACTTGAAATAATTTTTGACAAGGATGATGTGAAAATATCAAAATTATTCAGTAGAGTACGCGTTATAGGGAATCATTCTAAAGAGATGATAACTCATGACACCTTCAAGAACACTGTCAAACGAGATTGGACAGATAAAACTCATATGAAAATGTGTTTTTTATATCAGTATCTCCATCATAAAATTTATATTTGCTTCTGCGATAAAGAAATGTTATCATATATTATAAAACCTTCTTACCACTCATTGCACAACAAGTTATCAAATCATGTAATTGATTGACAATATTGATTAATATAAAATATGCGAAATTAATTGAACAATCGAAGAGTAGAAACAATGAAATGAAATATTCTCAGTTTTGATGTATAATCTATTCATTCGTTTAGTCTGACGAGGGAAGGCCACCAATTGCCTCCTCGCTTTTGAGCTGAAACTCAGTTGACAATAGGTAATCGAACGTGCTGATTCCGAATATCACAATGGTTTTTCACCGCTTTCGATTTAAAGACCCGTTTTTTTAAAGATCTTGGTTTTTCAACCGAAAAATCATATTCACTAAAAATTTTTTGACCTGTCTAAATGAAAGAGCACGTCGTCAAACATACAGAAAACAATTTTTCAAGGTTCTAAGCGAGGTTTTGAGCGAGTTTTCTGCGTCTAAAACTTAAAACAGAATAGAAAGAAAAACAGTAGTTTTTCTTTCATAAATTGTGTAAGAATATTAGCGGTTTTTTCCTCTTTTTTTAAGTTTTAGACGCAGAAAACTCGCTCAAAATCTCGCTTAGAACCTTGAAAAATTGTTTTCTGTATGTTTGACGACGTGCTCTTTCATTTGGACAGGTCAAAAAATGTTTTTGGTGAAAATGATTTTTCGGTTGAAAAACCAAGATCTTTAAAAAAACGGGTCTTTAAATCGAAAGCGGGGAAAAACCATTGTGATATTCGGAATCAACACGTTCGATTACCTATTGTCAACTGAGTTTCAGCTCAAAAGCGAGGAGGCAGTTGGTGGCCTTCCCTCGTGAGTAGAACCAGCGTGTGCAAAGTGAAACAGAAAAATTTTTCTATCATCATGATAAACATAAAGTTGACTTAACATTAGTAGAGAAAGAAAACAAATCGTTATATTTCAATTGATTCTATTCAATCAGCATGGTTTTTCATTTGTGAGATAATTCAAAAAAACCGTAGTTAATTTTTCGTTGTATCACTGTTAGACTTATTTTTTCTTCTAACGATATTGAACTTTCATACATATACAATTCTGCGTTTTTTTTTCTTTTTTGATTATATAATTTTCACAACTTTCAATGCTTATTCATGCTGAAATGAAAATATCATATTTTCAATAGCTCAAAGAAAAGTCAACCCTCAATTAAATCAATAATAGATCCTTAATGTGATAAGAACATTAATGATGTAATATACATCTCTACACACTCAACTGATAACGAGTTTCTTGATAGTGTAGAAATAATTATGGACAAAAGAAAAAGAATCCTCGAAAATTTCTATGATCACACAAGCATTAGAAGCATTAAAGGATAAAAATATAACGATAACTATGTTACATCGTAAGTAGATCAGAATCAAATTTAAACTTTGAGAAAAATACTACATAAACGAGCTAAACAAATCGATAATAGAAATCACTATAATCTCGCACATATAAAGGAAAAAAGTAGTCCATATGCGTAAAAGTATATTTTCTCGGTTGATCTTTTCACGTTAATACGCTTTTCTACCTTTGAATGCAGTAAAACTTGTAAAATTTTTCATGCAAACAGATAAATACACTTAAACCTTGAATAATTTTGTGCGTTTTAATGTGTTCAAATATCTTTAATACTGTTAAACGCATCTTTTTTAAAGATCTCGTTTGACTGGATAGGAAAAGCACAAGTCAGACTATTCGAAAATAACAGTGAGGGAATATAAGGATTGACATACGACGAAAATTAGTTTTAAGTATTTAGCACACTATTCAATACAGTCAAAAATGACATTTTTATAGGTAACTCGACAAGTTCTCTATTCAACAATAAGAAAAAATTTGTTCGCTCAGATTTCAAATTGCTGACACCTTAAAACTAATTAAAGAAATAGGAAAAAATTCAATCTAATCAATATTTTATTATTTTCTTATATATAAAACATAAGCAAAAGACAACAGTGAATGACTATAAAAGTTAATTTTAAAATTTTAATTATTTGTCTCATAGTCATCATTATGATTTTGATGATGATGACAAAGACCAAAATAGTCAATTTTTATAAATGTCTTTGTTTGACAACGTTCATAATATAATTGACAACGATTAATATATTGTCTTTTATTATCACCACAAAATAATTCAAATGGACATAATTTCATTGTTTCATTTAAATTACAATTCATACAAATCGGATAATGATATTTATCTTGTGTTTGTATACATATTTCATTTGATTGACATAAATTTTTTGTACATTGTCGTTTTAATCGACATGGTCCACGATATGCTATTTGTCTTGGTTGATTAAATACTAAAGAATTTGATAAATGACATCGATTAACAAATGTTTTACCATATGTATCACATACAGGTGAAAAACCAGTACAATTTCTTTGACGCGATATACAATGTGGTTTTGGTGTCATTATACATATTTCATTATTTGAATAACAACGTGATACTAATGAACAATTTGTTACACATGAACCAAAATAATCAATTTGTAAATTATAAGGATCAAGTTGTTTTGTACATAATGCAAATAATATTTCACATATATTTGCATATGTTAGACCATTTTTTAAACAAATTGGGCCAAGATAATTAGAATGAATAATATTACATTGAATATTTGAACAATTTGGTGTATATTGTTGAGATATATTAAATAATTGATCGATTAATGATGGAAGATTTAAACGAACTTTTGGTCGATGTAAACTATCGACAATTGGATTACAATGAGATCGATTAAATAAATTAATTGATTTACGTGTTACAATAAGACGAGATTGCCAATATGATATTGTTGATGTTTGAGATGTTGTTAAATTAGTTATTGGTGGTGGAGAAATTATATTTGAATCATTAGTTACTAATAATAATTGAGTAGTTGTTGGAAACTACAAAGACATGTTAAGATCAACTAATGAGGAAACGTTTTCAATTGATCAATCACTTTTGAATTCATATTCTGTACATAGGATAGACTACAGTAAGATATGAAAAAACTCTAAAAGATAAATCTCCTTAGGCGTTCTTTGGCGTTTTTTCATATCTCGTTGGGATCTACCTTATGCACAGAGTTCGAATTCAAAAGCAATTCATCAGTTAAAAACGTTCTCTAATAAGATTTATTTTTATCAAATAATTCGTTGGAAATACAGAAATCGAATTATCATTCTTTTTTTGAAAGGATGAGTACAACATTAATTAAATCTTAATCCTATAGAATATTTTATGTGTTCTATCTGATAAAAAGGCTAGAACTTTCATGTGCATTGACATCGAATGATTCATCTTCTATAATGAACTATAGATAAAACATAAATAAATATCCGCTTATAAACATGCAAGTATCAAAACTTCAATAGAAGAATACCATGAAAATACTTGTTAAATATATTCGAATATTGTTCTCAATTTATCCGACTATCTCTACTACCGAAAGTGTGAATGCGTACCCAATTTAATGCCTTTTATTTCTTCGCATAAATTTTAATAGGTTGACTAGAGAAATATAAACGACATCATATTTTGTACTGTAAACTATACTCTAGAAAATGTACTTTTCATTTTTTGCACTTAGCTCACTCAATTATCTATCTGAACAAAAATTTGAAGTATACTTCAAGTCATTAAAAGTTTCTAAGATCTTTCATGCTTTTATTTTGAAAAGCAAAGAAGTGAGCCAAGTGCAAAAAAAATATGAAAAGTACATTTTGTATAGCATTGTTTAAAGAACAAAATACAATGTTGCTCATGTTTTTCTAGTCAACCGTTCAAAACTTATAAGAAGAATAAAATGCATTATGATGGTAACGCACTCATTCTTCCAGTAATAGAACTAGCCGGACAAGCCGTTCCCAATTTGAATTTAAAAAAAACATAAGAAATTTGACTAATCTATGATATTATTGTAAGACAATGAAAACTTGAGAATTTTCTTATACAATTTAATCTTTTATTTTATTTTTTTTGTAAGTTCAAGATGGGATTTAAGTTAGAACGAAACCCACGGTATTATATTTTCATTTAAACATAGATATCATTTGCATAATATAATTAGTTCAGTAAAAATATAGCTATTCACCAAGGAAAGATTAAATGATTTAATTCATTACCCATGTTAAGAAAATATTTTTAAGAAAAATTCATAATTTAAATAAAAATTTTCTTTCAACATTATTCTAATCGCCAAATGTTACATCTCTTTCAATAACATGTAATTTATCGACATGTAAAGGAACATGTAAAGGAAGAGGTTAAAGCCGATATATTTTGTTTCTAATCAGCATGAATCATGTAAAATTCATAATTTGTTTGTAATTTTTATACTGTAGATTTGTCCTTTACAGCTATTCTTGTTTTCTCTGCATGAGTCTTTTTACTTTTGTATTTGTAGTCTTTATACAAAAACTTCATTTCTCTAGTAAAATTACTTTTCTCATAATTAAAAATTCTACATACTGTACTAGTTATATCTCTTTTATATTGTTTAATAATTGGTGTAGTATATTTTGATTTCATAAATTCTTGACTTGGCCTTATTGTTGAAGGTAATTCAATGATTTTTATAGTTTTCTTTTCAAATATATTTGTCCAAGGTTGAAATAAACTTTGTTGACCATAAAAAGCTTTACAATAATGTTCTGTTATTCCATCTTCCATTTTACATATATTATTTGTTTTTTTTTTATTAATAATTAATGGTAATGAACATGAACCACATAATGGTGCATGTTGCCATTGAAGAAATTTTCCACCTCTATTCCAATCCATACAACCAGAATTAGGACTAATATGAAAAAGTATATAATTATTATCTCGTGTTGCATATTTTAACCATTCATATTCACATCGATGACAATCATCATTAACTTTTAAGAAAAAATCTTGTAAATATGGAAATAAACGTATATAAGAATAATTTAATGGATGATTAAATGAAGAAAAATTTAAACGTAAAATATGTAAATTAGGAAATTTATCTAATAAAATATTTTTATTACCTAAATCTGTATGATCAAGTATAAGAACATGTAAACGTTTCATAATTAAACATGATTGATTAGAAAAAAAATTTTCTAAACTTGGTGAAAAATTTGTTAAATGTAAATAAAATAAATTTGATGATAATGTATTAAATGAACATAGAGTTTTATTTATTATTGTTGTTCGATGAAATATTAAAAATTGAAATCTACGAAATACTTTTGCATATTGATTTATATTCCAATTTTTAATAATTGAATCTGTTATTTCAAGTGCTGTTATATCATGAGAATATTTTAATAAATATGGATAAATATTTGAAAGATTTTCAACATAACGACATGTTATCATTTTATAAAATTTGAATGTAAATTGTTTACCACCTAAACGTATACTACATTCAGTTGTCGAACCAAATAACATTCTATTAATAAGTTGTGTTGAACGTGTTTTAGTATGAAAATATATTGAATTAGATGAAATTCTATTAATTACAGAATTAATCAGAATTAAGATGATTATTAATGATAAACAATTCATGATCAAGTGTTTTTTGAACTTGGAAATGAATCAAAATAAAGATAAATAGACAGACAAAATCGACAGACATTCTTTTTCTTTTCCTATTTCATCTCAACAGTTGTCTATTGAAAAATATTTAATCAGATCATATTACACTACTACTGAGGTAGAAAGCACGAAACACAAACACAGACAATCAATTAAACTTTTGATTTAGTCAGTAAACAACATACAAACAACACGAAAGTCAAATAAAAATTTTGACTAGTAATTGAAGATAATGATGAAAAAGAAAAAAAACGTTTATCTAAATCAATAAAACTTAAATTTGTTCGTTTAGCTACAATAGGTGTTGGCCATTGTCGATATTCATCATAATAATGTCGATAATATTTTTGTACATTAATAATCAATTTCATTTTTTTTGTACGACATAAACCATTATAACGTTGATCGATATCCGATAATTTACCAGATGATGTTGATATAAAATAATATAAATGTCCAGCATGAAATTCTGGTAAATTTGGATAAGGTAAATATTTTGATATTGATAATGTATACATTAATCGTGTATCAAATGGTTTATTACATTTTAATAATGGATTATAATTTGTTGTATTACAATGATAATAATCATTTTCATTAACAAGATAAAGTGTATTATATTCTATATTAATATTGGAATATTGATCTTCATCATAATAAGGACAAAGAAAATCAATTAAATCTCCAAGATAAACAGTTAAAAAACCGGATGAATGAAAAAATCTATTTGATGAATTCCAATAAATTTGTAAATGTTGTCGATGATGACGATAATTTCCAAAACACATAATTAAAATTGAAAACATTAGAAAATGAATAAATATATATGTTAATGACATGAGAAATCATAAGACATCGATTAATGTCTATATCTAGAAATAAGATATTGATTGAGATGAAAGTCATATATTCCATATGCATGAGTTAAGAATTACATAATCAAAAGAAAATTACAACGTTTATGATAGAACAAACATTACCCTGCGTGTCTAATAGTCTCGCATTTTTCTTGCATGTTCACTAGATGTACGTGTGTGATCATTCGTAAGCTCAAGGATATGTCTTACTCATTGATTCTATCATAGAAAATATGTTACCTTGTACCAATAACTATTTCGAATTGTCAATAATTTCATTTGTCTCAAAGAAAGAAATGAAATTATTCTGAAGCATCCTTACATATATATATATATATATATACATGTATTGTAACTGAACGTAATAATAATATCCTTTTGAAGGTATTATATATATATTCTCAAATATGTTGATGAAGGTTATTTCAAATGAACGATTTTTAAAGTCTTCATGCAGTATTTTTTAAAAAAGCGTGAAAGGTCCTTTCTTATTCATCCTTGCACTTACCTTTTAAAGTTGATGTTATTTAAATCTGTTTGCATTGCCAATGACATGTTAAAAATTTTTAAACTTCTATTTTGTTTGAAACTTTCATAAATAATAGACTTTTTCAACATATATTTATTTATTCTTGATTAATTATATTTAAATTAACAAAAGATCATAGTTAATCATATATTGTATCTTTCATATAAATAATATCATCTTAAAATTCTTTGATTTCATAATCGAAAAAAAAAAGAGAAAAATTGGTACTCTAGATTTTTTTTTTCATATGCTCTTCTACAGTTCAATTATCATCAAGAGAGAAAAAGAAACAGTTGGTACTCAAATGATGAAGAAATAAAAAGAAACTTGTATGTATTCATTCTTTCAATATATTGTTTGGTCATTTTATACTTCATCTCATCATCATTCACACTATTGAATGGATTCACGCATCATCTCTTTATTCATGCAATCTCATAGTTCTATATAAGACTATTCAAATGATTTATTTACTTCAATGAAAAAAGAAACGAATTGTGTCATTTTATTTCTATTTAAAAAAAAAATAATAAAGACTCTTAAAAATAGAATGAAGAATGTGTTATATTTTCCCATAGAAACGACGGAAACTATTTCCTTGGAATATGACACTCATATTTAATTGTCATCATTTTCACACAAGAAACATTTTTTTTTTTCTTTACACTTTTATTAAAGTACAAAAAAAAAAGTATATTTGATTTAGATATTTCTATTTTACTTTTATTGAAATATGTCGAATAATGAAAGTGAAACATTGGAAGAACGTTTAGCTAAACGACGTCTCTTGCATAGAAGAAGACTTTTAGATAACAAAAATTCTTCTGTTGAATCAGAAATAATACCAATTAATCGTAGTCCAACAACAACACAGTCACTTGATCGTCAATCAAATAAACGTCTTTCTCGAACAAAATTTGTTGATGAACATAAAACATCATTGCCAACCATTCAAAATTCAGAATTACTACCAAATGAAAACACAAATTCAAAATCAAATTATATTTCATCCAACAATAAAACTAATTCAACTCCTCTTCCATCACGATTATCTAAATATCAATGTTTCGATTCTGAAAATGAAAAACAAATTTCATCAAACGCTCTTTCTATTAATGAACAGCAACAAAATGAAAAATTCATCATTAATAACAACACGGTTTCATCAACACTTCTACCAATGATTTCTTCTACAACTATCGAAAAGTCAAATCCAATTCAACAAGAAATTGACAAAGATTCTTCTTCACATCAAGATAAAAAACCTGTCGTTATTAAAGAAAATCTTTCATCCATATTCCGTCCGATTATTCCTCTTACAACTACCGAAAAATCTAATTCAATTGTACATGAGACTCGTGAGAATCCTACTTCAAATCAAATCAAAGATCATTCTCACACAACATTCGATTATCCATTGCGTTATCCACGACCAAATACCGATCATTCACAACAACAATTTAATTTTACACCACTCGATTCAAAGTCTGTTGCACGTGCTAAATCAGAAGAAATCATATCAACAAATAAATCCAAACATCAACTAACTGATTCAAAATATCCTAAACTAAATTTATTAGCACTTTCATATTTATTTAATAGACGTATGATTGCTGCTGGATTAGCTCCTATGTCATCATTTGATTATGAACAACCACAACGTAAAACTGTTTGGGATTGAATATTATCAAGTTTCTTTTCTTTTTCTAAGTTCTTGTTTTATATTAATATGTATTCCTGCACCATATTTATCAATCTGAGAAAATAATAAAAAGAATATATATATATTTTTTTTTTGTTTTTTGAATTGAGAATATAATTACTTTGTATGAAATAATATATTTTCAAAAATTATCATGGAATCATTTCATCTAATTTTTCATAACTATTAATATTAGAATCATTTGATGAAGATGATAATAAAGGTAGAAAAATTTTTTCTGATTCATTATTATTATTGTGCTATTAATAAAAATAAAAATGATTTTTATTTTATTTTTTTCCCTATAATACAAACTGTAATGCTTGTTTTCTCTTCGGAAGTATGCGTTCTATTAAATATTTATTTAAATAAAAAGAATTCAATAATTTAAAACTAACTTCACATCTGTAGTCATAACCGTTGGATTAATACTTGAATTATCTATTGTTTCTCGTATAAAATTAAAATTATCCGTATGATTATAATTATAAAGTTTTGGTTCATCATAAACAATTGTATCCTTTGAATCCATATCTAAGGTAAAAACAAAAGTTCGAATGAGAAGTATTTTTCTTTGTTTGTTTTTACCTTGTACATTTAAATGAATATTATATTTTGCCATTCCAATTTGATTTGTTGATGTACATATAATATTTTGATATATTCTATAGATAATATGTAACCAACAACAACGTTTTGAACACCAAACAAATGATGTATTCTGAAATTCAGTAATCATTGACCATGAATATGTTGGATATGGAACAGCATCCAAATTACAGCACATTAAATATTTTGAATATAAATTAACATTAAGTGTACGTTCATAAATATTATCAGGTGATTTAGGAGGATCTTGAAAAATAAAACTATGATAGATTTTTATAAAAAACAAAAATAATAATAATAATAATAATAATATTCTTACGAATAATTGTTAATACAATTCGCTGATAAATAATTGTTTCTGTTCGACATATATATATTCCAGCATCAGCTATTGTTACTGAATTAATTTTAGTATCTTCATCATATAATGTTGGAAGTGTTGTCATTAAATAATAATTAAAAGAAAGAAAATTCCATTGAATAGATAATGTCATATTTGATGGACAATGAAAATAAACAGAATCACCTATAATTAATATTAATAATTTTCATATAAATATTAAATTATCATATACCTTCAAAAGCAATACGATATATATCACGTTCATTTGTATTCATTTCAAGAAAATCATTAGTTTTTAAATATTCATCTGATAAAAATGGAGTATCTAAATCGAAATATTATATTCTATTTAAAAATAAAAATGAATATTACAATAACCTTTTTTAATTAATGTTTGTACACGTATACCAACACATGTTGTATCCATATGTAATTTACAAAAGAGATGTGTAGTACTTCGAATATGTTTAACAACTAAACCCGTACGATTATAACGAATTGTTTGTTTACTATCAATTAATTCAATAAATTGTTCATTAAAACCATAATTAAAATACATAGGTCGACAAATAGTCACTAGATTTTCATGAAACTCTGTCAATTTTGTCCAATTACGATCAATCGAACGTGCACCTATAATTGAAACTAATTAAGGTACTGAAAATTCGAAATTTGAGCAAAATTTTTTTTGTTATGGTAGGATAAAGCTCGTTGAATTATCTCTAAAAATGTTGGTTTTCACATATTCAAATGATGTTTTTGTAGTGAAACGAAGAAAAATTAAGTTTTAAAAAAAAATCAGAAAAACTAATAAAAATTGAAATACACTGAAAGCATCAAGTGTCAATAGTCTCAATCTTTATCTGAATATTGTTTTCTTGATTTTACTCGTGATATAGTTAGGAAAAAAATTATACATGTCATTTGAAAAATATTGTTTAATTGTTGAGAAAATCAATTTTTTCCTAATTATATGACGAGAAAAATCAAAAAGAAAATGCGGATAAATATTAAGATTAGTGAGGCTTGATGTCTCTGGTATATTTCAATATTTATTGGTTTTTCTTAATTTAATTTTCCTTCGTTTTACTATAATAACATACTCGGAATATATCACAAACAATTTTGCTCAAGTTTTAAATTGTTGGCATCTTAAAAAAAAGCTGTTAGCATAATCTCTGCAAGATTAACATGTAAAATACGATCTAGTTTTTATTGCTGTTTTACAGAGAGATCGTTTTATTCTATCTATTTTGATATACATTTCTTCATCATTATTTTACTTCATACACAAGAAATATGACAAGCAAGTAGTTCTTGTATTATAAGAAGACGTTGTTATTACCAATGTCTGTCACAGTGTGTAACGAAGAAGAAACATTGCTAAGAATGTCTGTCATGTCTGTGAGAAGAGGAATTTACACATTTATATTCCTACGCTTCAACACTCCTTTTAGATCGTGTTTCACAAAAAAAACTATTAAAAATATTTTTTTTCAAATTACCATTTGAAAAAATAAAAACACTACGTGAATATAATGGTTCATAATTTGTATGACATTGATAGAATCCATCACGATTTTTATCAAACTCATTTAAACGGATTAATTTATCATTTATAATCTCAATTTTTCCATTATTTAAATATAATTTCCAATAAACAATATTCTTTGAATTACATTCTAATAAATAAGATTTATCAAAAGGTATATAAATAGATGATGGAAATTCTAATCCATTAAGCAATAAATCATCATCTATAGATAGAAATTTTAATTATCAATTAATTAATAATCATGATTTACTTTGAACAGCGATGATTGCAACAAACAATTGACATAGATAAGCAAAGATCATATTCATTTTAGAATAAATTTATTAAGCGCAAAATAAGTAACTATACAACAACAATTAATTTTTTTCTTTTTTCTTCTAAATCTTTATTGAGAAAAAAAAATAATAAAGCACTGGAATAATAGCGAATAATTCTTGAATATAAAGAATATATTACAAAAGAAATTTCAAGCAAAAAAAAACTCAGATTTATTATACAAATTCAAGAAGAATGTTCTTATTTTTTAAATGATTTCAAGCAAAATTTTCTTCATGTATATTTGAAATTAATTTATAATGCGCAATTCTTTCTTCTTCATCATAATCATCATCATCATCAGTTTCACTATTATTTAATTTAATATGTGATTTCATTGACATATAAATTAATAAATAAACAATAATTAATATCAAAGCATCACCAGCTAAATGATATGCATATGACATTGTTAATAATGAAACTGATCGATGAGAGTTAGGTTCCCAAACAAATAATGGATTTGTTGTTTTAGGCCATATAACAAATGCTGCTTGAAGAAACCATGTACCTTGTGTTAAAGCAAAAAAACTTCGTGCAATAATAAACCAAAAATTATCTGGATCAAAAGTTTCACATAAAGCTCCAATCATTGAACATACTATTGTTAAACCAACTAATTGATGTATATGAGCATCAATCATAGATCGAGCATGTAAATGAAATACCATCATTAAACCTTCTATAGCAAAAGCTAAGAATCCCATAGCTTGTGTTATACGTTTTAGTACTAAAATTTTATAATGAACAAGTATTTCAACCCATGCACCAAGAAAAAAACCAAATAGCATTGCTGTATGATGAGCATTTTCCTCTCTAATATGAGGTGTTGGTTCTTTGTTATAACCATTATGTATTTCAATTGAAAAATGAATAGTTGTTATGAGAATTTTTATAATACTTTCTAAAGGCAAATGACGAAGAGTTTTACTTGGTAAACAATTAAATGGATATGTTGTTGATCCTCGAAATTTGACTTGTTTTTGTTTTTCTTCTCCAATCGTTTCACTAGCTAATGATCTCAGATAACGTACACAATTATTGATATGCCACCAAAACGCGAATAAAATAAAAAATATACCTAAATAAATTTACAAAAAAAAAAATTTTTACTTAAACATAAGACATAATGTTTTTCCAAAACACACCGGGTGCAATATGTCCAATCCACGATCCCATTTCGTCTTCTTTATCGAATCTATTCCCTTTTGAAAATTAATCTAGAAGAATTTGCTGTTCCCTAAATTGTTCATCTCAGTTATAAAAAAAACAACCACTATGATTTGTATTATTTTTTTTTCTTTATAAATATATACCACTTACACAAAAGGGAATTGTGAATAGTTTGATATAAAGTCATAAATCTTCAAACTAAGAAACCGAGAGAGAAAAATAATGATCAGATTAACATTTTGACTGGATAATGTTATGATAGAGATATTTTATCAAAAATTTTTCCGTCTAATTTACTTCATATAAATTACACATTTGTTTTTCCTTTGACATATCTAAAAGACGCAAAAGTAATTGTAAATTATAACAGAAGAGATTCTTCTATAATTTTCTCTGTATTTTTTTTTTCTAGCTCATAATAACATCTTTTTTTTTCCGTTCTTCGACAGATTTTATATGTAGTAGTTATTGTTAATACACTATCGAACAGCGATCGATTACTTGTTTTTTATTTTATTTATATGAAATAAGAAAAAGAACATGTCTTCTGATCATACCTTAACGTGTTAATGACGTAAAAAATAGCTCTAATCATATATGTATATCTGTTTATCAATGTAATGATGATCATGCAAAAATAGAGCAAATACAACAAGATGCATTTTTATAGAACGAAAAAAGAAAACTACGTAATAGTGATGATTTTCTAATAGTCATTCAAGCGTATAGTGAAAATTACATAGTCTCCAGTTGATTTGGACATGAAAGATAAAAATAAAAAAAATATTGCGTTTATAGTACACATTGAGAGAAATCTTCTTGTAGTTCAACTATTATAAATGTACTCTCAGAACAAAAGAAAAATACAAAACACCTTGAAAAATAACGTGACAATTAGCATAATCTGATCTTATCATATAAACGGACATAATTAATATTAAAGACCTTGACTTTAAGTGCATAAATGATTCTACATGATTGCAGCAGACAAAAAAAAAGAAATAGATTTATCAATAGATACCGAATTTTCAATGCAAGACAATGAGAGGAAGGTAATAGTTGTAAAAGAAAAATAATATCCTTACAAAAATAAATAATTAATATAACATACTTGATGAACTCACGAGAAAAAAACTACTGACAAAGAATATGATGTTCGCTTATTATCATAATTATATCTCAAAACAAGATGTTGTTTGCAGTAGGTGTCGACATGGAAACATTCATTATTACATAATGACTCGTATTTTCTTTTTAATGAATATATATCTTTGACTAATTGAATGCAGTTAAATAATTGATAGATTAAATTTCAATAGCAATATTTGAATATTTTATGTCAATAAGCATCTAAGTTTAACTTGAAAGTGAAGTAGAAATATGAACTTTCTTTTTGATAACAGATCAAATTTCAAACAAAAATATTTTTTTTTTGTTCTGTTCTGTTCTATCTACAGATATCATTAATTTTTCAAAGTAGAAAAATATCACTTTTTGATTTAATAATTAGAAGTTTTTTTGTACAAATTGACATTCTATATATTAAATGTTAGCTTTCAATTCTCTCTTTTCTTTTTGTATTCAAGTACCTTTGTTTGACTGACTCTACTTAAATGAAAGAATAGATGTAAGAAATGAAAGTATAAATGAATTTTATAATTATCAAAAAAAACAATGAGGATTTATATTTTTTTTGTGTATGTAATTATATATCATTTTTTTTGAGCTTATATCAAAATAAAAAAAGTATTAAAAAAATGACTTTGTCATGGATGTACTTATCGTTCAAAAATTTTTAATTAAGTATCTATTCATGAATTAGGTCATTTTACTATAATAATTCTATAAAATGTACTTTAAGAACGAAGAGTAGAAATAATGAAACTATTAATTATTCAGTAAAAGCGCAATGCAAATAAAAATAAATCCGGATACTTTTTTGCATTTATATTTGTTGATGATTGACAAACAAAATATATAGTATGACTAATGAATGAATGCAAAAGAACGTTATTATGGACTTGACCTCGAAGGCCTTGAACCGTGACAAATTGCTTGCAAAAAACAAGATAATCATTGATTACAAAAAGGATTTATTTTATCAAATACAATGTATTTATTATTTTGTAAAATCTATGACATTTTTCATGAATTCGAATTGGACATAGTACGTATATGATAGAAATTAAAGTAAAATGAGATTATATTAAAGCAGAGACAAATGTGGAATACTATTTGTTGATATATCGAAGAATAGTGTGACTTCACTATTCATTTTGATTAGTTGTTGTTTAATAAAAACGTTAAAACTTAGTCGAATATCAAGTATAAATACTAGATATTTAAATTGTTTGATTTGTGCAATTGATATAGAATTGAAAAATACATGATAATTAATGCATACTAAATGTTCTAAACACATGATATCATTATTCAAGATTGTATTTGCTTTTATATTATAGTTCAATTGATATACGACACATTACATGGATAGAGAGATAGTTATTGCACGTGAAGGATAATCATAATCGAAAAAGATAATGCGTATCATTGAAACAATTCTGAGTTATCAAAAAAAAAACGACAATCTCCCATGTAATAACTACATACAGGTGATTTGTTTGAAAATGCTGTATCGTGTCAAAACGAGCGAATATTTTTGAAGAAATCTGTTAAAACTGACAGAATTGAGACATTTTCAATGCACCGTAGAAATACTGGTTTTTTTCTCGGTGAATTAGAATTCTCTTCTAATAAATAATCCGAATTTGGGTAGAAAATACTCTCTGCAATCGTTTATAGATGGAACCGAAAGTCGTAAACGCTACCACTACTTCTTATGACTAACGCTATAGTGTGAACAAACATGTGACGTGAGTCGATAAACATCTATCGATAAGGTATTAGATTCCCATATTGTTTTTTACATATCAAAATATTTCTTTGTGAATGCTAGAGGCAATTATTTTATAAGAGCTTACTTTGAATCGCTTATTTTCATTAAAAAAAATTAATAGTTTTACAACTTTTCTCTAAGATAACGATCTCGATTTATTGTTGCGAACCTAAAACTCTTTTGTACTAATTAGAAGTCAACCAGATCTCAGTTCAGATCAAATAAATGAAAAAACTCTTCACACAATTCCTGAAACTAAGCTGTCTGAAAAATTTTTTTTTGCTTTAGAAACGACATTTCAGTAATAGAAAAAAGGTTTTTTTTCATATTCGGAAGTGCTATTCTCAAAAATTGGTCGGACAGATTAAAGAACGATTCCAACAGTTCCTCGGATTCGAACTAAAGCTGAACTTGTCAACTTCTAATACTAATCTGAAATTTTCAAAACCATTAGATTAAATGATTGTACTAGTGTTTCTTATGTCTGTGAATATTTCTAATTGATTCTATACCAATATTCAACAAACTTGATAGATATAATTAAATTTTCATAGTCATTAAACAATATTTTATTTATCTAATTGGAAGTAAAATAATAATCATGATTTGGTTTTATTGATTTAAACAAAAAATATACAATTCAAAAATGTCGTACTTTAAAAAAAAAATTTCTTTAAAAATAGTTATAAGGCAGAAAAACTACGAAAGAAAAAAGAACCATCAATTATTCGATAATTATTGATTGTCTATAAAATTACATAGAAAACTTATGATGATATGTGACCTTTTAAATACAATTGTGTTCGTTGTTCAGGCCGAAGATTTTGTGGTTTTAAACGTTCGCTACAAACAAAAAAAAATCACATATCATAATTTTATATATGATAACTTACTTCAATAATAATTCACCATTGAGTGTTGCAAAACGTGATGTAGTTGAAGAAAAAGCAATACTTCGTCGTTTTTGTCGTTTACGTTTATCAGCTATTGTTTCATCTCGAACTGGTGTTACAAGATTATATCGACCGACACCAACGGACTAAATGATAAATATTTAATAAATAGAAAAAGAGTTTATATATTAATTAACATACATGCTGAGCACTTGCACTAGTAAATGAACGATTATCATTTCTTGATGCTGTTGAATTAAATGGAACTTTTTTCTGATGATAATCATATTTTTCCCATGGTCGAGTTATGGCATATGTACCTGGTCCAGGAAAATCAGCATTTTTTGGTTCAAGACCTTTTTTTTTCAATAAAAACAAAAACCAAAAGAATAATTTAGTTATTTCATTTTTCCGATTTATCAACCTGGATGTTCAATAGCTAATCGATCAGTTGGTTTTTTTTGAAATCTATTCAATTTACTAAACATTCCATGTTTATTTTTAGCTAATTCATATGTTAATGATGTTGATTCTGGATAATCTTTTGATGGAAAATCAGGTGATAAATCCCATGTATCAAGAACAGAATAATGTCCTGTTGATATTGGTGCTGAACGACTTAATGTAAATAATTGATATGGACCTTTTTCACTAACACGTTTATTAATCAATTCATCTATTGAATTTTTTATATTATATGTTCCTGGACCAATTTTTGAACCCTAAAAATGATCGATTAAAAAGAAAATGTAAAATTTTTTTTTAATGTATTACTTGAAGTGGTAATGTTCTTGGACCTTGATTCCAATCAAATGATGGAACATTACTTCCTTTTTGCCAACGATTTTCGACAAGTTTTTCATCAGGAATACCATAGGCACCTGGTGGAGGTGCTCTATCCTATTTAACAAAATGTATTGCAATAGAAATGAAAGACAAAAAAAAGAAAAAACTTTTTTTTTCATACTAATATTTCTTTTGGAAACCGAGGTGTAAGTTGATCAAGCATACCTCGTACACAACGTGGTCGTCGATCGGCTTCTGTTAAAAAATCATTAATAGGATAAGTACCAGGACCAATACGTCGTTCATCTTCTTTTCGTTTTTCATAGGTTTCTTTAAAAGATGGATGAGGAAGTTTGGCTAGCTTCTCTGTATATAATGATTGTTCCCAATTTGGACCTTCGGTATGTTTTTGAATATTTTTATCACTAAAATCACCATACTGTATTAGATCATAGGAACCTGGTGCAACATCAGGTGAACTTTGAAATTGAGTACCCGTTAATAATTCGGGATGTAAACCAACTGTTTGAAATCTAGAAGTTATAAATGAAAAGAAAGTTGATTAAAGAATATACGTATATATATATATATATATTTTACCTGACTGTTCTAGAAGAGAAACCAAATGGTGTTGTAGCCTTTTCAACATCAACAGTAGCCATGAACAATATGATGGACAACTAAAAATAATGATTGAAAAAAAACCTTTTAACTTTTGTTTCTTTCAAGTATTCATTGATTTTTTTTTTCGAAAAAAAAATCGGCTTTTTTTTTATTACACTTAATACAAGTGTAGAATTAACATTCTCTTTCTTTCATTGTAGACATAATCATAAAACAAATAGTTACAAAGTTGAAAAAGAACACAATTCTCTATACATTGTCAATTTTACCATTATAATGTTGGTTACAATAACATTTGCCTCCTATTTTTTATTGTTCTCTACCATCATTGTTTGTTCTGTCTGCATAGCTGCTCTGGTATTCCATATTTTTTCTTTGTCTTATTAATTATCCATTGAACCATAAAATATTTCTCAAGTATCAGGTTTTTCTTTGCTTCAATAGCACGTACTCAAAAATAAGCATTCTACAAATGGTAGCAACAAATAGTAAAGGTAGTATTAGTAATAAATTAAGTATTGAAGATCTTGATTTGAGAAAGCCAACGTGTTTTAATTCGTGTTGATTTTAATGTTTCATTGGATAATGGTCAAGTAAAAAATAAACAACGCATTTAAGGTGTATAACCAACAATAAAATATGCATTTGACTAAGGTGTAAAATTAGTTATTCTTATGTCACATTTGTATCGACGTGATGATAAACATGTTAAAAAAGAAAGTTTAAAACGAATTAGTAAAGATGTAACATTATTAAATGACTGTGTTGGTGATGAAGTTGAACGTGTAGTTAATGAAGTTATTATACTTAAAAATCTTCGATTTTATCTTTAAGCAAAAGATTCTATTAAAGGTAAACAAAGAAGTAAAATAGAAACTGACACAGATGCTGTCGATAAATTTCAAACTAGTCTATCTAAATTATGTGATGTTTATAAGTTTTGATTTTATCTTTTATTTATATGAATATATAAGATATTAATGATACATTTGGGGCAGCTCATTATGCACATAGTTCAATTATTGGAGTTAAACTTGATCAACATACAGCTGGTTATTTAATGAAAAAAAGAACTTGATTATTTTAGTCGAGTACTTGAAAATCTTAAATAATTATTTCTTGCTATTCTTAGTTTGTTTGTTCTTTTGTTTTCTAAAATTTTTCCAAAAATAAAAATTTCCTCTAGTTTCCTTAAGATGGTGCACAAGTTTCTGACAAAATTCAATTAATTGAAAATTTATTAGATAAAGTCAATGGATTAATTATTGGTGAGAGTTAAATAAATAATTTTTTTTATATTTAAAAATATAGAAGGTATGAAATCTATTTAAAAGATTCTTGATAAAGCTAAAATCGATGATGATTATATTGATCTTGATATTGATCAAGAATCAATCAAAAAAATTTAGTGAAGCTATTAAACAAGTTAAAGCTTATATAGAATGATTTAATGAGAGTTTTCGAACAAGATCAATGTGCTAATGGTACAAAAGAATTACTTAAAACTGTTGCTGAACAAACCAAATAGAATACTATAAACAATTCTTGATGGAAGCGATACAGCAACAACTTGTGTTAAATTTGGCTTTACTGATCAAATGAGTTATATATCAATTAGAGACTAGGTAAACAAGAAAACAATGTTGTGTAACTGATCTTATTGATAAATAAACTAATTATTATTGTTGCCCATAATAAACTGGGATCATCTAGTCTTAGATCTTCGACTTTATAGTTTTATTTTTTTTTTCTTCGTTCTAATTGATATGTTAAAAAATAATAAGAAAAAAAAGAAACATTTAAGATTCATCGGATTCTTCTTTCCATGGTCGTTGAATTCTTTTTTGTTCCCATGCACCTAAATTGTGATTTTTAACTATTTGTTCATATTCTTCTTCTAATGTTGTTGGTTCAACAAAATCGAGACCTTTAGCTTTAATTTCATCACGTGAATAAGTTTTAACATGTTGTCGTCGACGATCATAACGTACCCATGTTGCACTACGTAATGTTATATAAATAACACCAATTAATGTTATAAATGGAAAGAATTTGTTTCGAAAATTTTTATTTATCATTGATTTATTTGTTTAATATTAGAACAAATAAATTCTTCAATAGATTCAAGATCTTTTTTTGCAAATGAATGTAAAGCAAAACCAAAAAGAAGTTGTTTTTTTAATTGTAATCGTTCGTAAAGATGACGAGCAAGAATATGATATTCAGCTTGATCTTTACCAAGAAGAGATTTTATTGAATAGACTGGAGATGAATCTTCGTTTAGATTAACGTCACGACGAACAAGAACCTAAAGAATTAGTCTGAAAATGAATACAAACATCTTCGTTTTTTTGCTTTTTTAACTTACTAAACTTCCAATTTTACCAAATTGAGTTACTGATATAAAAAGTTTGTTAGAGAAATTACTTATAACAAGATCGGTAACGTAATTATTTAGTGTTGTTTGTGCCTGAAAATATATAAAACGTAAAAAGATAATATGAATTTATTATTCTTACGGTTATTGTTTGTGGAAATCTAGAATCCATAGTACATAATGAAAACGATAAAATTTTTTTTTATTGATAAAAGCATTTAACATTTAAATAGTAGTTGCCAATCTAAAAAGAGGAGGTTTATAGATGACGCTACATATAATATCAAGATTTTAGTCGATATAATTTATTTTATTATTAGATTAACTGGATTTCATTAATAACTTTACAAAGCAATTCGCTATGATTTTATTATTTGTTAACGTTTTTATTTTTACATTAGCAAAGAATTTTCAATTACAATAACATCTGTATATATATATATATTCCTATTGTTTCGAGTTCGTTAGTATTTCCGAATATATCGTATAATATAGATTCTTTTTTTTTTCTGTAAGACATTTTCTCGATGGAGAAGAAACATATTAGGATCACTAATATCAATGACAATAGAGAAAAATGATATAGTAGTAGCATCAGATCGACGATATCAATCTGCCTGGAAAAACACGAAGGTGTAATCTCAATCAGTCGCTTCGTTATATGAACAAGCACTAGAACAAAAAATATGATAACTACACTATGATCTAGTTCATAGACGGCGAGTCATGAGAATTGAGTAAGCTCAAGCATTTGTTTCTTGTTCCATCAGATTGATAGATTTATGTAGTGCATCGAAATTCTTATATAAATGTCGAAATTTTTCACTGCTTTCAGCCGCAATTAGTACTATTGTCGTAGTGAAGCAGAATTAGAAAACATCCTTGAGAAGACATTGAATTTTGTATAACTAAATGTCAAATCCTACACTGCCAATAACTTGAAGTACAACTTCTTTGTTATAAGTGAAGAAGAGCTTTACGGGAAACATGAGTTAGATAAACTAAAAACTGTTGAAAGTTTCCTTTGTCTTCAGTGACTAAACTTACATATCTAAAGAAAGATTTTCAACAAAGCGAGCAAACTCACAATGTAATTCTTTTATTTTTGTGAACACTATAACTTCATCATTATTCTTTTTTTTTTTTCATTGAAATAGATCAAAAACTATTCTTTCAAGAGTCTAAATTTAATATTGACATGTTTCTCTAAGTGTACCCTATTCTTAACTTCCTGATGAAGATCTTATAAACATTGGTGAGTCTATTCCACATTTAAAACGCTCGACAGTCTATAGTCGAGTTAATTCAGGTCATGTACAATTATGAACTATTAAATCATAAATGAATTCAATGTTTGTCTGAAATAATGCAATGATATCATAAAGATTTCTTGCTGATGGCTATTTTTAATATGTTCAATAAGTCATTTTTAATAACATGCTGCATTACAACTTATTCTTCCTGATACTACAAATCTTTGTTTATCATTTAAAATAAAACGTACGTGAATTTTAATGTAACCTTATAACACATGAACATGGTGAGTGTCATAAGACAATAATGGGCAAACAAAAAAAGAAGAACATCCAATATGTTTCTTATCTTATCAAGAGAGTATCTTGAAAAAAAGTCTTTTTTTTGTGATTGTAAAATGATCTCATTTATAACTACGTTTGATAGAGAGAATAGACTATCACACGATGATATCATCATCAAACTTGACATTAAAAATATATATGACAAATATGTAAATAATCTGTTATTATCATTTGTGTAAAGTATAACAAATGAGATAACAGATATCATTAACAATACTAAGAATATAATAATATAGTATAAAATGAATACGGTATCATCGTCTTATTATATTGACTTTACCATGTATGATCTCTTAACTGTTCAAAGTTTTCATTTCGAAAGACTCATCATTTTTTTCTACTCCTATAATCTTACTCAATAAATAGCTGATTAATAGTTCGAACTATTTGTCAACTTATATGAATTCAAATAATGATCATTAGAAGAAATTATAGTTCAACCTTTTTTCTCACTATAATAAATTTCGTTCACTTCCTTTGGATCTATTACGAAGTTTTTTCTCTAAACGATATTTCTAATCGTGCGTGCATGATCAGAGAGACCGCCAGACCCCGTTTGGATAGTACAGTGAACGATGCTGACAATGGTCGAACAACAATACATGTATGTATTCCCTACATACTAGAAGACGACCTGTACGTACCAACAGGACATCGAATCTCTCTGTCAGGACTACAAAATCACCCGACGGGCTTGTATAGAACAGAAGGGATGAAAAGAGAAGAATATAATGTAATATACAAGCAGGAAAGCAAGGAATCACAACGTAGAAGCGATGCGACACAACGATATCGCCATACGACAAATAATGATTAATTAGACAATATTCAATACAATCTTATCATTATATTTTTTAATATATCTAAATTGTTATAAAACAAAAACTGAACAATGTATTATAGAACTATCATAATCAGTTTATCATTAATTCTTGCTGATGTTTACAATACATCATTTTTTTTTCAAATAAAAATATGAAAAATTAATCCTCTTAATGTTGAACTATATCTTTGATTCCATATATCTTTAGTAATTCTTTTCTTACGTCTATTTTTGCTTCAAAATGAAAACGTTTCAAAACCATCTGAAGAAAATATACGTATGAAATCAGTTGTTTTATTTCAAGAAACAAAAAAAAAGAAGAAAAATGTATTGCAAATAAAAAGAAAAAACAGTCAGAAATAATAAAATATATTAGTGTTTCTTGGTTAGTTTATCAAAGAGAGTATTTCGCATGGCATATTCTTGTTCTGTAAGACATTCACGGCGTGGAATGAACACATTTGGATCACTAATACCTACAGTAAGATCATAAAATGATAATATTTCGTTGCCATATTTTTCACTGTAAGTTGTTCGAGAAACTGGAAGACATCCTTGATGTGTCCATGTACCTACATATCGAAGAGTTTCATTTGTTGGTAATGTAAGGTTGCCACCCCTATAGTTTAAACGAAAAACTCACATAACAAACAAATAGAAAGTTTATACTAACCAAATTGTAATAAGTAAACCAGTATCTGGACGAGCAGATGAACCAATGTAAGCTTCACCATAAGAACGAGCATCTGGAAGAATACCAAAATCACGCCATGGTTGAATTATTTCTCGACGTGTACAATTATGAGATTTTAAATCATAAACAAATTCAATATTAGCATCATATAAAGCAAGTACATCAACAGCTATTTCTTCACTGCCTACGTCAATAGTTTCAACAATTCGTATACGATGATAAGTAGAATCATAGCTTGTTCTTCCTCGTAATGTAGCTTTTTGTTTTTCATTACTATCAAATATACGTCCTTCCCATTGTGATGGAGATGTACATGGACGTGGTTGTTGTGCAACTGCAATACCAACCAAACAGAGAAGAAGAATTGTAAACATTGTTTTATATTCTTGTAATTGAAACACAGGAGTTATAAAGATTTTGAATAAGGACAATGAAAGAACATATCTATATATATATATATATATATATATATAATACTGATAGACAAGATTACTATCAATTTCTGATATGCTAGCCTCCAGATAACAAAAATAAATAAAAATGAGCAAGAAACGCAATATTCGGTTATTGATAAACTATGTCATATAATAATGCATCAATGACCAGTAGAGAATGAGTAAAGAAATGATAAGATAACAAATAAGTTCTTTTTTTTGTAAAACGCACGTTAGTATAATAAAGATGACACCGTTGTAATTATCTAATAAAAAGTATAAAATGCTCTAATCTATATTAAGAAATTTTTGTGTGCTTCAACGCTTGACGCTATGTAGAAAGTGTCTAAAAATAAATATTTTATATGTATCATTCCTTTGTCACTGTTGTTCTCGTGATTTATTCTTTAATATCTTTTTCTTCATTTGAATGCAAGGTATCAATTTGATAAAATATCGTACTATCACAACTCTCTATTCTAAATTGATCTTCAGCTAAATGATATTAAAATTGTGCTTTTAATTCACATCAACAGTGTTCAGATCGGATCTTTTCCTTCTATTCATACGAGTTCGTATGGGCTGAATATCTTTTAGTTGATTATTTTGTTGTGAATTCTACTATAACCGTCGATGTTTCACTAAGCTTTATGTATATTAATGTGAATGTTCACCAGATTGTTTGCTAGCTTTTTATTTATCAAAAGTTGTTAGATTGATAAAATCCTATCAAGTTGTTTATCTCAAACTTGTTGCTCAATGATAAATCAAATTAGGTCTTTCAAGAATAAATACAATTTGAATGTTTTTGCATATTAAAATTTGAAACGATATAGGATCTTACAACTAAAAATCAGTATAATAAAATTTCCTGTTCGGATGTAATTACTTTAAATTCTTTTGACATGATCACAATTTACTGTCTGCATAGGTCTAAAATTGAAATGATAATATGAACTTTTCTTTGACAAAAAAAAAACAATAGATTTCTAATCCTATGAGTGTCTGTTGACTGTATCAATATTAATAACTTAATGAGATTGTTTTTTTGTAAAGGTTTTCTCTGATAACAAGAATGCAAAACAACAGGTATATAGGATAAATATAGGGAATTCTTCTTTAGGATTCATGTGGATCAAGAATTCCAAACTTGACATCTAAAATAATAGTAGTCACTAATTGATATTCTTGAATTTATTCTTTCCAGATTGTTACTTTGTTTTTTAATCGATCAGTCAAAATTCTTTTTTATCTCGAAGTTTAGACACGATTGTTTTTGGCAGGAAAGCAATAAAGACTCTTTTTGAATTGATTATGAAAATAAGAGTTTGGAAAGAATTACAAGATAATTGCATCTTCTGAATGTTCAAACACACTTCTTTTTCTTTTCAAGTAAAGGATTTCTGTCCAAAATTCAAGGCAAATTCTAAGTGATGTCTATATATAAGTAACTTAAAATGAGGTGTTGATGTGGCTTTCCTCTGTGTTCTTATCCAGATCCACATCCTAAGTTATTACATTCATATAAACTGCACAAGAATAGAGCAGAACAGTGATACATAAATATGCGTATTATGTCAAAGTCAATTTCAGATTTTTCAAACTACTCAGTGAGTGATATCAGTCTTAACGTAGGATAAGAAAATTCAAAATGCTATTTCCGTGCAATATAGGTAATTTATGCCTTATTCCCCTTCTCTCACGCGCTCGGAGCACCTGCTTACGTCCTCTGTTAATACTTAAAAGTTTCTCCCGCCACTTAATCTATCTATCTACCATCAATATACATATTTATTCTGCCAAAACGGGTCTATTTTGCGTTTGACATTTACATGAGTAATGGCTCTAAAATAAAATTTTTATTATTTTTTGTAAGTTCAATGTTAGGTGAGGAAGAGAAACAATTCGATCCAAAAATGTAATGTGTTGTAGGAGAAAAGCAGGATACATGGATCAGTATCTGGAATGATTTCTTTCTTATTCTGATATATAACAGTATTTACAACTTTCTTCATGCAAAAAAGTTTTTTTAATCGAAATATATTTTTGCCTATGCAACTCGATGAGTTCCATCCGATGATGACAAAAAATTAATTTATTAAAGTTCTGAATTGTGGGTGTCTTACATAGAAAAGTCTGCCAGAATCTTCGTCAGATGTGATGTTAATCTTGCTCAGATTTTTGTATTCATTTTTCCTGCAGTCTTCAACCATAGTTTGTGCTGACTATCCATAAAACCTTCATCTATCATTCTGAAAATGTATTCGATAAGATTCAGAAGAGTCATTCAAAAGTCCGAGAATATTTTATATATTGCAGTAATAATGAGAATGGAAACATAACTATAGCAAAACTTAAAACACAAAACGAAAATATTGACATTTGTTTTTGTTGTGTGCTAAACAGGTTTTCGTTTAGTGTTTTAAGTCTTGTTATAGTTATGTTTCCATTCTCATTATTGCTGCAATATATAAAATATATTTAAAATTGACTACTCATGTTCACCTCAATCATATAGTTCGAGAATAATTTCGAAACACAACAAGTGAAAGGATATCTTTGCATTTCACATCCTACTTGCTCATAAAAAAGATTCTCCAATCATCATCACAATCTAAACAAGGGCTTACATTAGTCATCCTTGGAGTTATACACAAGATCGATTCCAAATACGAAAGCAGGTAAGAAAACTAGTTTTGTGTTCCATCGAATACAACATGATTTCAATACTAATGAATCGATTTCAGCAATTCTTTCTCAATCCACTTCATTTCACGATAGGTTACATGACTTAATCGCCAAGTACTCCCGTAGATTAAAATTCTCAACATGCTCATCCGTACACTAAACCTACCATTCTACAAACTTCGATCACGACATTATTGTCTTATTTTGATAATAACTCTCTATTGTAAAGCCACTTCTTGCTATTCTATGTCATTAGCAAAAAAAAAGTAATAATAGATGATTCATCAACAATTGCATGTCATAAAAAGTGGCAACATGCAAATATCATCCGTATAATTCCCATCCTGAACCCTTTTACTTCTTTCCAATCACCAGTACACTACACCTTATATTGTGATCACCATAATATTTTTAAAACACGGACGATACCCACGGAATTTCTCCTATTCGAATCAAATGCACTCGACACTGACCGACAGAACAATAATCTATCGAACACTACATTAATATAAAATAGCCTGCGCTTCACGCTTTCCATTCTCACAAATTGTCCTATATACATTCACCAAACTCAACCTTTATTGAGATCCAATAGGACCCAAAGAAGCACAACATCTTGCCAATGCTCTCGCCAACAACATGATAAAACATGTTTTTCTATTCATTTCGCTTCTCACTATCTTGACTTTCCACACAAATACTCACAACACTCGAGCTTAGTCGAAATAACATCGGAGACAAAGGCGGAAGGTATCTTGCTAAAGCTCTCACTAACAACACGGTAAAATAACATTCTTTACTCATCTAGCTCTTTTTTCACCTTGATTTTTCACGAAGACATTGACGACACTCAACCTTTCTGGTAATAAAATCGGAGACGCAGAAGCACAGCATCTTACCAAAGCTCTTACTAACAATACGGTATAATAATATTCTCTACTCATCTCGCTCTTCACTATCACGAGTTTTCACACAGAAATGCACGAAACTCAACTTTAATTTGAACGATATCAGACACGAAGGAGCACAACATCTTGCTTATGCTCTTACCAACAATATGATAAAACACTATTTTTGCTCATCTCACTACTCAGTATCTCGACTTTTCACAGACACTCACAAGATTCAACATTATTAGAAATATTATCGGACGAAAAGGAAGATTCCGGTGATGAAAATTCGGAAGTCTAGTAAGACGCTGACAATCGATTTGTGATCACAAGTTATTCTGGTTTCAGACACTTGGATTCAGATATTTTTTCATTGAGACATGTTTTTACAGAATACTCTGTTTCAAGAAAAATTTTTACGTCATAGTGTAGTATGGAATCTTGTGATGGTATGACTTTTTTGAATCCTAGAGGAGTAGGTTGAAGACGTTATAGACAATTTACTGAAATGAATTCAATCATCACTCAGTATTCATATATGCTTGATGTTATTCTTAACATGGTTGTTTTAGCTGTTCAGTGATGGCGCCTAACTCATGAAAAGTGCTTCTGAATGCATCTATGAGAGATCATCGGATGCATGCGTATGAGGTACTGTTTCATGTTTTTGATTTCTGAGAAATTCAACTATATAACATTGGTCATGGATATAGAAAACACTGCAGTGCCTGTCAAATTCAATTATATTCAGCAAGTTGCGTTGAAGACCAATGGATTCATCAATATAATTAGATCTCATAGTTGGGGAAAAAATTCGTTTATGAGCCTAACGCGTTTCACTTTTATATTAAGAATATTGCGAAAAGAAGAAGGAAGATGTTTTTTTGTTGAGAGCATCTTCGGATCGAACATAAAATAATAGAGTTAACGACTTCATTAGACATCAATAGACTTCACAAGACTTAAGAAACTTCAGTAGACTTCAAGAGTTTTCATGCAATTTCAACATATATTCAAAGTATTAGTTCAAAGACTTCAAAAGACTTGTTAAGATTTCATAGGACTTCGGGCATACTTAGCACCGGTAGAATTTTTTACCTTTCCGATACTGGTGCGACTGACAGGAATATCATTCACTTTTCTCACACTTCAACTGTCAAATCAAACTCTCGATTAGTCATAGATACGTATGAATCGCTACAGTAATGGTGTGAGGTATCTGTCTCACTACTCTAACTCTTTTCACTATTTATTTCCATATGATTTCTCTCACATGATATCTACCGGTGCACATAATACTTCATAGAAGTTGTTGATAAAGGAAATCTCAGAAAACAGTGGAGAGGAATCAGGCACAACCAAACAAGTTGGGAGGAGGGAAGAGGTGACAAATATGTACGGAGATCCGTATGCTTGTTACAATTTGTTCGCTTTTTTCTCTCGAGTTTTCTCGAAATATTGAAATTAAGTAAGTTTTTACAGTGTTTTGAAACTAATTTGTTATACGGATTCTTCAGTGTCTTGTTGATAAATGAATGAAGCATATGAACGATAAATTGTGTATTGTGCTTTTTTGTGTGATGTGTGCTCACCAAGAAAAACAGGATACTCGCATCTCATGAGGTATTTTGATAAAAGCTGTCGAACCGGACATCATCTCCAAGAATCGTATGACTAACTTTTTACGGAATTCAGTATGTCTGAAAGTATCGAATTCTAGCGTAAAGGACTCTGTCAGAATGCGGCAGAAACCGATTATAAGTGACTGTTTCGATAGCTTTCAATAAACATGTGTTTGATCTTGATACACATTTCATGTCTTCTTCTCTTATACATAGTAAATGGAATTTTACTGAATTGAAAACAGGCAGCTAGTTGAAGAACTATCTTTTTTGTCAAATGAGACCTCTTAACAACGCACGACCAGAAGAGAAGAATCAGTCAAAATCGGATGCGTTCGATGGACTAGAAGAGGAAGGAGTCCAAAAATGCTTTTTTGACCAGGCGTTCACTATGTATGCCGTCATACTACTACAAATTGTATATTAGCTTTGCAAATTGATTAATTGCCCGTCTCACATCAACATTATTAGCATTCTATATATTTATTCTAGTTCGTACTTCATATTTACGTCGGTATTTCTTATGTCTTTGCAAGTTAAATGCTATAAATGACAGGAAACACAAATCAACTTATGAATAACTACGATAAGAATCATTCGACTTTGCTTCGATATCATAAATTGATATCGAAACGAATTGATATAAAACATTAAGTAGATTATGATGTATTTTCACTGCATAGAAATACTCTGATGTGTGTTTTCTTACAGGAATAGTCTTCAACAACTGTAAAATATGTTTAACTTGCGAGAAAAATACTTCTATAATCAATTCTTTTGAAAATAATATGCAGAAAACCCAAAACAATCTAGAACACCCAGTAAGGAATCCTCACAAGCACTGGTCACATGTCGTTGCCGGTTGTAATAACGATTTCAGAGGACTTCCACAGATTTCATGAGACTTCAAGATTGAAGTCACCAGTGTTTCTCTTCGGTGTGGATACTTGAATGATTTCTGGTTTTCACCATTGCTGAAAGAAGTCGCGTTTCAGTACCAAACTGATGAAGAATGCAGCCATTGTTGGCGTATAAAGAAATCTGGAGTTAGAATAAGAGGTCTTGCCTATGGCTCTACGATTACTTTTTTAGACATCGAAATACAGAACTCGAGAATGATACTCGCGCTTCACGTTCAGCGAAACACTGATTTTCTTTCCCTTCAGTGCTAATTTTTCGATTCTGACTTTCTAAGTTAATATTAAAAATGATAGTCTCTTTAATTAGATTGCATCATCAAGTTGCGATTCGAAACCTGTTAGTTTCTCGTGGTAAGCCCATAATGCGGCAAATACATAATAATAATATCGAAAAACCAGCAGTCAATAACTAAAATATCGAAAGCAAAACATAAATAAAGCAAGAACTCACTCATGCACTCTGCATCAAACAAGACATCGATGACAGGTATCAGATATGTGCTACTTTTCTACTATGGAAACAGACTCGAAAAGTTACTGCATTATAGTACGATGTTTCACTGCACGCGAAGACGACTGTAGCTAACACAATGATCACTTTGACAATCAGGATCCCAACTCTAACCTCATTTTTAGTAGATGTCTACATCCAATAAAAAATGTCTCTTTTTTCTAGCAAAAACTGAATTGTTGTCAAAACAATTTTAAAATTGGTCTAGATGTATCTACCTTCGTACGCAGCCATTTTTCTTGAAATCTTAGACAAAAGTAGCCGAGATCGGAACGCAAATTTTGTCAAAACTTAATGTTCTCGCAACGTTTTGTTATGAAGACATGATTACCTTATCAAAATTCACTGTTTATGGTAAAATAAATATTTTGATAAAAAGGATAAAGATCTTCACTTTTCTCATATTTCTACAGTACTTCAATAAGTGTCCGAAAATATTCGAAAAAGGCTAGAGATGTAAAGCATTCAACGCTCTATCCGACTGTATATCACGAATTTTTTATCCTGCTATGAAATCTAGAAAAGCAACGGCAATCCTTTTGAGAAACATACGAAATAAATATTTTTCAATTTTCACATTAATTTAATACAGATGTATCTCCACTATAACTACTCTTCAACAAGATATATTGAGCTGAATACTTTACAGTAAATCATCTCATTTAGTTCTAATAGTAACACAAATTTCATCAGATTTAAATAATGTTTTGAAAAACGACCGTATCATTTACCAACAACAATGTGATTTAAACAGGTGGACATGAACGACAGATAAATCTTTATCGATCTCCGATGATGAATGTCAAGAAGATGAATTATATTAAAAACGTTTATATTTATAGCATGTCTATAACATCGTTTTTTTTTATCTTTTATCATTATATTAAATATTCTTCACTTTATATTGGTTGTATGTTATTTGAAGCTTTATGAAAATAGGACGTACTCTTGTCTTAGTTGTTTTTTTTTCTGAATTTATTAAAAGTTTTCAGTGAAAATAGAGCGATGAAGATAGAAAAGATCGTATTCACTTATAAGAGAGGCTGCATCTGCATAGCAGGTATCAGACAAAAATCTATGCATTGTACTTTTTCTGGAGAGACGATTTTTGTCTCATCAGTCAATATTTGATCTTCATAAATCGTGCCAGAGTGTCAATTTTTATTTTTATGCGTTGAATCTAGAAACTTATAATGAAATATGTACACATCAAGGATCTTGATTGACAGCTAAAAAAAACAAGAGTCTAATAAAAATATAGATAAAAAAATTCGATTAATATTATATCAGTTTGGTACTTTAGATTCATATCATTTGCTATATACAAAATCGTACCAGTGGCATCAAATAGTCAATGATGATTGTAAATGGTTCAATGACTGTGTTGTTTGATACAAAGTAAAAAATAAATACCATCACAACTATCTTGTTTTTTTTTAACTTAAGAATAATATTTTAATGTTTTTAAGGAAGATTTGGCCAAAAATGTCGAAGTATTGATGAAAGACTTTGAAATTATAAGAAACTTGGTGAAATTGTGCTGAAATCACAATTATTAGAAAAGATTGATAACCATTTATAAATACCGAAGTTGTAGATTTGTTGCAGTTATAAAATTTAGAAACTAAAACCATTCTTGTTTCCATAATGTTGAACAATATGTGGAACTTTTTGAACGATCATGTGTTTAAAAGAAAAATTCCATAACTTCTAAAAGAATTTAGAAGTTTTGTTTCTTATTAGAAACTAAAGAATCAATTAAAATGAAAGTTCTTCAAGTTACCTAACATAATTATATTCTTGATGAGATTCAATTACAACATCTATTGTGATAGACAGAGTTTCAATTTTACTTATCAATCTGTCTATTTGATTATAGTTACCTGAATTCTCGATGGATCTTTCATGAATATTTGTTATCATTTATTTCTGTACAGAGAATTCTAATTCTAACTATATGAAGTTTGATGATACGAAGCTTTTGAGATCATTATATTCTTTATTATCCTTGTATTATCAAGTTTTGCATGGAATCAGAAGCGCATTGTTTTCGTAAAATATACCGATAGTTTCTTTGAACTACTTTGAAACAAAAGCTCAAATCATTATGGTGAACTAATAAATGATTTTATAAGACGATATAATAAATAAAAATTGAAGAACATTAAAAAAAACATATTTTTCGTTCAAAAATCGACACTATTTTTGTGTCTTTTTAAATCAATCAATTTCAATAGGATCAATTGTGACTAAAACTTCAGTTTAAAAACAAAAACATAGATCATTTCACACTTAAAAATTATGGTCACTCATCATCTTTTAAACGTGTCTATCCATAATAATACTTCATGATTATCATGAAGATGTTGAACAACTCTAGAATCGACACAGCAGAGATAGTTTACATAACTCCTGACATCAATAGATAATATCATTTTCATATGATTGCTTGGATGATCAATACGACATATTTCCTCATTGTTTATTCTTGTTAGGATTAGATTTTATATATGAGAAGTTATAATATTATTATTAAAGGCAATGACAAAATTTGTTTTATTTAAAAATTAGAAAAAAATTCATCAAATATTAAGTACTGAAAAATTTATCCTATCAGTTTTTCTTGGTAGGTGTACCAAAAAGAGTGTGTCGCATGTTCCATTCTTCACTCGTAAGGCATTCTTGTCGTGGAATAAATACATTTGGATCACTAATACCAACTGTTATATCATAAAATGATAAGTGTCCAATACCAAATTTGTCACTGTAAGTTGTTCGAGAAACTGGAAGACATCCTCGATAGGTCCATGTGGAAACATAATCAATTGTATCATTTGATGGTAATGTGAAATTACCAGCCCTAAATATATACAATAAATATTTATTTAAGAAACAATATTAAAAAAACATTTACCAGATTGTAACTAATACACCTGTATCAGGAAAAACTGATGAGCCAATATAAGCTTCACCATATGAACGATCAGTTGGACGAATACCAAAATCACGCCATGGTCGAGTTAATGCCCGACGTGTACAATTACGAGCTTTGAAATTGTAAACAAATTCAATTTTTGCATCAAAAAGAGCAATTGTATCATAAAATTCATCCTGAGTGCCTTCTTCGATTTCGTCAACGAGACGTTCGCGATGATAAGTAGCATCATAACTTAATCTTCCTTCTAATGCAAATTTTTCTTTTTCATTAACATCAAAAATACGGCCTTCCCATTGTGGTGGAGTAGTACATGGAACCGGTCGTTGTGCAGCTGCAATACCGACCAAACAAAGAACAAATGCCAAAATCATGGTTTCGTTTGTTGGAGATGAAACAGGAGAAGAATAAATAACTGTGTTGTAGATTTTAAAAAATAACTCGTCTATATATATGTAATACTGTGAGGAGAGTATAGTCAACAATATTGTTACTTACCTTGACTCTATTTTTAAAAAAACCCAAACGTCAATGCAGACTGCAGTTATCATTACAGTTCGGTATAAGATAACACATTTATAGTGACTAATAAAGAATAAATAAAACCATATTGTGTTTAACAATTATCTTTTTTTTGTCAAAACTGGGGTTAGAATGCAGAAAAAAAACTGTCATTACATTTGCGAACTGAATAACGTTAGATAATATGAATTATTTCATTTCGAAGTATTCAATGTGAATTTTACTTGCGTAAAAATTCAAACGAGCGAAGTAACGATTGATTATTGAAATTTTAGTAGGTTTTATTACTTATAACTCTCATTCTTTTAAGAAAAATATCGAATCTATATGAAATATACTTTATATCATGGAGCAAAACTTCAAATTTTGATTTCATAAATGAATAAATGAATCATTGAACGTAAAATGACATAGATTTATCTGTGTTTTTCGAAATATATTATACAAATATTCATTCTTTGATTTAATTACATAAAATATTGTATCTCTTTCTACTAGTTGTCAATCATTTGAACAGTATTAATTATTATTCTATTGAAAATAGAGAAATTTTCTTTTATTTTGTAAAAAAAAAATTGTCACATAATTTTTAAAAAAAATGCAAACTAAATGTTCTTTTTTGTTGGTGTACCGAAGAGAGTGTATCTCATGTCCCACTCTTCACTTGACAGACATTCTCGTCGTGGAATAAATACATCTGGATCTCTAATACCAACTGTTATATCATAAAATGATAAGTGTCCGATACCAAATTTGTCACTGTGAGTTGTTCGAGAAACTGGAAGACATGCTCGATAGGTCCATGTGGAAACATAATCAATTGTATCATTTGATGGTAATGTGAAATTACCAGCCCTAAATATATACAATAAATATTTATTTAAGAAACAATATTAAAAATACATTTACCAGATTGTGACTAATACACCGGTCTCAGGAAAAACTGATGAGCCAATGTAAGCTTCACCATATGAACGATCAGTTGGACGAATACCAAAATCACGCCATGGTCGAGTTAATTCCCGACGTGTACAATTACGAGCTTTGAAATTGTAAACAAATTCAACTTTTGAATCAAATAGAGCAATTGTATCATAAAAATCATCCATAGTGCCTTCTTCGACTTCATCAACGAGACGTTCACGATGATAAGTAGCATCATAACTTAATCTTCCTTCTAATGCAAATTTTTCTTTTTCATTAACGTCAAAAATACGTCCTTCCCATTGTGGTGGAGTAGTACATGGAACCGGTCGTTGTGCAACTGCAATACCGACCAAACAAAGAATAAGAGCTACAAACATTGTTTTGTTTGTTGGAAATGAAATAGTAAAAGACAAAAAAAAGCTGCGTCTTACAGTTTCAAAAAACTACTGACCTATATATATAATACTGTGAGAAGAGCGTATAATCAACATTATTGTCACTTACCTTGATGCAGCAAAAAAAAAGGGCATGAGTGCATTTTCGGTTATCAGTATAGTCTAATCTAACATAACATATCTATAACGGCTAAAAAAAGTACGAATGAAATAATATTGTGTTAAATACGTAGTTCTTTTTTGCCAACATGGGATGACAAATCAAAACAAAGATTATCATAGAATTTATAAGACTGATACTAGTAAATGATGTGAACGACTTTATTCTGGAATAAATAGAATGAATTGATCCAGAATGAAAAATATGAATGAATGATTGACTATTGAGATCTTAGCATCTTCTAATGTGATATATCAAACAAGTATGAAAAATACTTCAAGTCACGAAATAAAACTTTCAAAATGTTTTTTACATAAATCCATAAATAGACTATTAGGTGAACATTTAAAATATCTCTATTTATATTCCGGAAGATATATCATTGAAAAGCTTATTGGTTTCTTTTATAAGATGATAAGTTACATGTTTTATTCTTTTAACACCTATTATTTTGCAAAAAAAAAATGATTTATTATTTTATTGACAATATAAAACAGTTTATTTTGTAAATGAAAAAACAATTTCAATATAATTTAAATTTTAAAAAAAAGCATTCTCTAGATATCGGTTTTGTCCGTATCCTGAAGGATGTTTTATGCTCCATTTTTTTTGCTCATAAACATTCTTATCATGGAATAAATACATTAAGACCAATAATATTAACTGTAATGCTATATTTTTCAATAAAGCTTGTTCGAGACACTCGAAGACAATTTCAACATGTCTATATTGAAACATAATCAATAGTATCAAATGATAATAATGCGAAATCATCAGCCTTAAATATAGAACAAATACCAACTTAAAAAAGAGTTTTGAAAGAAACATTTACCAAACTATAATTAATAAGTCTCAATCAGATAAAATAGATGAACCGAAGTAAGCTTCGCTATACGAACGATCATCGGGATAAATATCAAAGTCTCTCGATAGTCGATTCGTTTCCTCATGATATACAATTATGTGCTCATAAATTGTATATAAATTCAAATCTACTATGAAATTATTCAATCACATGAAAAATTTTTCTTGACTTCTTTTGTACAAAATGTTCAATATCAAATTCACGATAATAAACAACATCATAACTTCTTATTCTTTCTTGTAACATAAATTTATATTGTTCATGAAAATTGATGATATGTCGTTCTCATTATGGTAATGTTGAACATATCAGATGATTTTTATTCTACCGCAATAGCAATCAAACAGAAAAAGAGAACCACAAACAGTTTCTTTGGTTATTTAAAAAAAAATTAGATTAAATGTCAAAAAAAAGCTTTGCTGGCGATAGTAAAAAACTGTTCTATATAGATATCAGGAACGAGAAGACCGTTACCTAAGTACGTATCTTTTCACCTTGAGATGAAAAATAAAACTAGAGTGAGGCTAGTGCACAAGTTATTATTATCAAGACAGTTTAAGGTGCGTTACTGAAGTGCTTTTAAGAACGAGTAAATAAGATAATAGTATATTGAGTAACGGTTTATTTATGAAAATGATGAAAAAAAAAGAAAAAACCAAACTAAAATCAAAATGTAAGAATGACATAATCAAGAATATTCTATTATCTTCTGTTTGCAAATGAAGAATCATCTCGAAGATTTTCATATGTAGTACTAAATTTTCTATTGCACTATTTCAATTCACTTTTAGGAAGTTTTCTTTGAGCAAGAATTACAAAACAAAAAAAAACAAGAACATAATGTACATTACATTCATTGATCGTGTCTATATTAACCCTTTAAGTACCAGCGTACTTTATAAAGTACGGTTTTTTTAAGTTTCTTGGGTTTTGAATAACTTGCGAATGGACAAAGATATCGACATACTGTTTTCTCTATGGCATAGAAGAGACTTCAGCGCACATATCTTTATAAGATTTATACCCTGATTGAGGTCACTTAGATAATTTTAGGCTCACACCCACACTTCTTCACAGGGATGACCAAAATACTGCTTGCCATTCCCATAAGGGAGTACAACTAAAAGTTGAAAATGGCGTAAAACATTTATAAAAAATTTTCAATGCAAATGTTCATAATTCACACTTCTCATATTAGATATCAAATCTTAAAGAAATTTCGTCCATTGGCTGAGCCATGGTCCTAAAAGGGTTAAGATAGTGTAATAGAGATTGACATGATACATATACTCTCAGAATCTAATGGTATTCATATGAACATCATGCAACATGATTTAAAGTTTTTCATCAATAATCTGCTGTTAACTATATTTGTTGCCATACATTTTCTTTTTAGTTTATATCTGAATTCGAAGTAACTTTCAAACAAGTCTTTGTTTATGAATAACCAATCATCATTTCTCAAAATTTCAATGTACGAAAACAAAAAAAGATTGTTTACAAATGGATGAAATTTTTCTTGTATTTTATTGATGAAAAACTAGGTTTACATTAAAAAAAAATGAATAAAAAAAAAAGAATTGTCTATTTCTTCATCTTTTTTCCTTGTGCACCAAAAAGAACGTGTCGCATAGCATATTCCTTTTCTGTAAGACATTCTGGTCGTGGAATAAATACATTTGGATCACTAATACCAGCAACAATATCAAAAAATGATGTTTGAGAACGACCATATTGACTACTGTGACTGATAACACTAACTGGAAGACATGCATGATATGTCCATGTTCCAAAGGTACGAACAGTATCATTGGATGGTGTTGTATGATTTCCACCCCTATTTATAAAATCGATATTAACTTGATATAATAATAAGCAAAAGAGATACTCACCATAAAGTAACTAATAAACCTAAACCTGGTACAGCTGATGTGCCAACATAAGCTTCACCGAATGAGCGAGCATCTGGTCGAATACCAAAATCACGCCATGGTCGAGTAAGTGGACGACGTGTGCAATTACGAGCTTTGAAATCATAAACAAATTCCATTTGTAAATCAAACAATGCAATAACATCATAGAAATTATCTTCACTGCCAACTTCAACTTCTTCAACAAGACGTTCACGATGATTATTAGCATCATAACTTAATCGTCCACGTACTCTAAATCTACTTTGATCATTGGAATCGAAAACATTTGCTTCCCATTGTGGTGGTGTTGTACATGGTTTTGGTTGTTGTGCTACAGTAAAACCAACCAAACAGAGAAGAAATATAGCAAACATTTGTCTTTGAATATAAATAACAAGTCAGAAACAAATTAAATTGACCATTTATGAAGCAATGTGTCTTTATATAAGAGACTGGGTAGATAAGAATTCACTATCATAGCCTTGAAATAAAGAAAAATAAATAGAGGGACAATTCATATGCAGTTATCAACACTGTCGGAGAGGACGTTTGGTTACAGAACGAAATAAATAGAGCAATATTGCGGCGTTGAGTAAATATATATATATATATATAGTTTTTTCTATAACGAAGAGACGAAAATGAAAATATCTTTTGACATCAACCTGATAATTAATTATATAGAAAGTTTTTGTTTTAAATAAATGAAAGATTCCCGCTTGTCATTATTATTTATTATTTGTTGTCTATAGAATGTTAATAATTGAATCATGGTTAGATTCTCATTCATGGAAAATAAATAAACGAGATTTAAAAAAATTTTCAAATTATAAAAATATTGTTGAACGACAACAAAATCAATTAGAGGAAAATGAAATAAAAACTATTGTATCAAAATGTATTCATGATGAGCTTGATGAAAAAATTTATAATCTGGATTTAAGTATTCAATTGTCGAAAAATATTTCAAAAAATATTCGTCAAGAACTTTCTGATAAATATAAATTTTATAAAATTATTATTCAAACATTTATTGGTAAAATATCAAATGAAAAAATTCAAAATTTAGATTCTCATTCTTATAAATTATATGCTTCATATCATTTTGATCAAAGAACTGATAAGTGTCTTTCAATTATTCAAAATAATGGACAAATGTAAGCCATAAAAAATAAACACGTATTTGAAAATTTTATTTCCTTTGAATTAATCTTACAATGTTATTTTTTGACATATTCAAGCGATGTTTTTGTAATCAAATTAACCTAAACTAGATCAAAAAAAAAATTATAAAAGCCTGTGAAGATTAAAATACGCCAAAAAAACTATCAAATCTCGATAGTCTCAATATTTATCCAAATGTACTTTTTTTTTTCGATTTTACTCATCATATGGTTAGAAAAAAATTATGCATGCTTTTTGAAAAAAACTGTTAGCGCAATCTTTATGGAATTAAAATGCAAAACACGTTGTAGTTGCTCTTGTTAATCACAGGAAGAGTGACTTTTTTGTATATATGTTGGGACACATGACTTCACCATATTTTTACTGAATCCTTTAAAAATGCAAAAAGGAAGTAGTTCATATATTAGAACAAGATATTATTCATATACAGTCTTTGATCGTATATCAACAATGTCTTGTACGGTCTATGACGAGTTTAAATTTCTATCCTATATACTTCCATACTTCTTTTAGATTGTATTTCACAAAACAGAGATACTCACAGGGTATTTTTTTTCATCTTATCTTACCCTGCAAATGACTCATACAAAATTTTTCATTCTCACGGCAAGGCATATATAAACTGAGCCAACTATGGAATGGGTTGGTAACCTAACGAAAAATTTTGATCGTATTTATATTCACTACTCATACATTTTTTATATTATTTCAAAAGAATATTAGACATGTATAAAAATCAGATTATAATTGATTAAAAATAGTGTCATATTAATTTATTCTTGGTAAAGAAATAATTGTTTTTAGTCCAATTTTTACCTTTTTTTTTTAGTATAAGAGCATGACGCCCGTAGCATTTTCATATAAAAACAAGACACCTATCGATAAAAATAGAAATTCTTTATGATTGAATATCATCATTTAATTGAATCGAAGTCTTTCAGGAACAGATTGACATTCATTTTTTTTTATTAGTTGCTAGACATACTTATGATTTGATAAAAGGTACTTAATCTCTTCGAAATCGAAATAGTTCAAATTGAATGATGATGATGATGAATTAGAATGAGTATTACATATATACATTCTAATCAAATCATCATCAGCTGAAGGAATTACATAGATGGCACATGCTCTGAAAGAATCATGTTTGCATTTAGTAAACGACTTCAAATGATTTTTTATGAAAAAAGAGTTAGCAAAGTAAAACAGAGAGTCAGAACGCCCTCCTCTGATGACGGTCTCAGTCAGAAAATACTCTTAGAATCGTTAAGAAAATCGATTTTTTCGATATGATAGCTAAATATACCATAAATATGAGTTTCTAACCAAAGGTTTTGTACTATCAGAACTTCAATTCCAAAAGAAACGAATATCATATTCAGGATCAGCAGAAAAAATAATTTTCATCAAATTTCGACTTTTGAAGAAATACTAGTCAGAGTATAGAATCATAACAGTATGGAGATGTAAGGATCAAAAACTAGTTTTAATTATTAAGTATACTATTCAATGCAGATTTTTCTGTGGATTCTAAATATAGCATTCATTTCCTTTGGAACTGAAGTTTTGATGGTCAAACCGGGACTTATGGCATTATGCTATCGTATCGAAAAAATCGATTTTCTCAATAATCAAACAATATTTTTCAAGCAGTATTAACTATATAACGAGTAAGATCAAAAAAACAACATTCAGAAAAATTTTGAGACCTGATGCTTTTGGCGTATTTCCATTTTTATAGATTTTTATGATTTTTTTAAACTTAGATTTCCTTAGTTTCACTACAAAAAAAAACAATTTTGTTCCAGTTTCGAATTATTGATGCCTTACTTCTTCAATTTACTGAAACTTCAGTTTGAAAATATTTGATGAAATCAGATTTTTCAACTTCTTTCAAATATTAATCTATTAAAATTTATTCAACATAAAAAAAAGTTTCCAATTATATTCAACATACTACTAGATATAAATTTGTTTCCATTGAAGTTGAGAACATTTTTCGGATAAGTTTGCCATGAAGATATTTCGATAAAAATCAATTATCATTGATATTGTTTTAGATATTGTTCTTGCATCATTTTTCTACTCTTCTATCTTCCATCTGATCATCAAAAACCAAAATATGGATAACAAAAAACAAAAAAAACTAGATAAATTCATTGTTTATCTTTCATCATTATTTTTTATTAAATACGAAAATAGCTCTGCTCGATGTCTCTCTCTCTCTTTCTCTTCTTGAACAAAGAAAAATTGAAGAGAAAAAGAAAAACAAAAAAAAAGAAAAGAATTCATCATACTCACAATAAGAACAAGAAAAAAAACATGATATAAGTAATATAATAATAATAATTTTTAATAGGGATAGAGGCAAACTCTAGCACATACACAATAAATAATAGAGAGAAAGAAAGACAACAAAAACAGAAAAAAAAATTATTTAAGAGAGAGAGAGAAACTATACAGAGAGAACTCTTCTTTTAAATTAATAAACTTTTTTGTTTTTTGTTTCTTTGTACAATGAACAACGCGCTAGCATACAGAAAAACAATTCTTTTTGTTTATGAAACGAAACAAATTTTGAAAGCAAACAAACGATTGCAAATATACATAGGCCAGTAAAGACAAAAGTTTTCTTTTTTTTTTTCAGAACTAATTTTTAAAAACACAGAAACATACAGAATATTGTCTGTTTTTTTTTTTTTTTTGTTTAAAATTTTATGCTGTAAGATCATCCGAACAAAGAAAATTTAAGAGAATATCTTCCGCTGAATTATTATCAACATTAGCTTGTTGTTGATTGTTTGATTGTTGTCCTAAATATGTATCAGCCAATGCATCAATATCATCAAAAAATGTCTAAATTTTAGAAAATAATTGTAAAATTTTATTTATTTTGTTTAATAAAACTTACAGATGATACATCATCAGTTAAATAAACATTTGTTGGATCTTTAAGATAAGCAGCTAGATCATCAACATTATTCATTGATTTATTTTGTTCATATTGTTGAATATGATTTGATATAAATTGTGTTTGATCACTTGATGATCGTGGACGTGTTAAAGGTGTCGGCGGTGCTGATAAAGGATTTGGTGTCGGTGGCATCATAACTGGTGTATGAGGATTTGTATTTTGATTGTTTATTGTTTGAGGAGTTAATGGCGTATGTGGAAATGAATATTGATGTGGAGCAACACGAGGTGTACCAACACTCTAAACATAAAAAAAAAAAACTTTTATTAAAAAGTTTTTGAAACAAGAAAATCTTTACCGGTGGACCAGGTGTCATTTGTCGATCATTTGTATCACCACTAGGACAAAGTGCATCTGTAAGTGAATTAACTGAACCTGGAGCACCATGATGATATGGTACACCAAATTCAGCAGTACCATTAAATTCTCCATTACTATGTATTTGATGTGGTGTACCAGGATTACTTAATGGACTTGTGAATATTTGAGATTGATGATGTGAAAGTGTTGTTGGAGATGTTTGAGCATACATTGGATGATCTTGTGGAATAGATGATGTCGATGGTGGAGGTAATTGTTGAGCTGGTACATATGAATTTGGTGTTGAATAAACAGATGGATAATATGTTGTTGAAGATGGTGGTGGAATACATACACGTTGTTGTTGTTGTTGCACAGATAAATTTAATGATGATGGTGGTATTGGTTGATATTTTATAAAAGGTTCTTCATTTAATGAAGATGTTGTATTTTGTTTCTTTTTTGTTTTAGTTTTTGTTGTTTTTAATTTTGTTGTAGATGTAGTATCAGATAAAATAGCATTATAACTTTGTTCAATAGATATTGGTTGAGGATGAGTATGTAAATGTTGTTGTTGTTGTTGTTGTTGTTGTTGTTGCATTTGATGTTGTCTCCAAGCAGCTTGTTGCTGTTGTTGTTGTTGTTGATATCGATACCATGCTTCATGTTGTTGCTGTTGCTGTTGATAATACATTGAATGTTGTGATGGATGTATTGGATAATGACCATTTGTTGTATGCATATGTTGAGTACATTGACAAACTGCACCCGATGGATGTGGATACATAGATGGATGAGGATGATGATGAGATGGAGGTGGAGGCATTGGATATGGCATTGAACGTGTTCGTGCTGCCATCATTTGTTGTTGACCTGGATGATAACCAACCATAGAACCATGTGTTTTTGTGGCCATAATACGTTGTTGTTGAATTTGTTCCATTTGAACAGGTGTATATGAAACATTTGTATTATTAGGAGTATAAATATTCTAAGAAATAAAATTTTAAAAAATATTTATCAATTAAAATAATTCATATTAAAAAATTACTTACAGGATTTGAAGTTGTTGTAGAAACTTCATCAGATGATGATGATGATGATAATGATGATGATGTTGTATCATCCGAATCATTTTTAACACATATTGATGTTGTATTTGGATTTGGTGATGTTGTTGAATTTTGTGGAGAAAGAGGATTTGATGATGTTGTTGATGAATTTTGTTGATATTGATATGATTGTTTAATTTCACTCATTTGATGTGGTGATGAATATGGAGAAGCTCTTGAACGTATTGAATGATAACTAAGAATTGGACCTACGCCACCTGATAGCATTCTATGATGTTGTTGTTGTTGTTGTATTCGCCATTCATCCATTGATATTATTGGATGAATATAATATAAATCTGTAATAAAATAATTCACCTGTTGGAAATGTTCAATTCCTCGTACTTTTTTTTTTTGTTTTTTAAAGAAAAATAATCGACTAAATCATCTACAAGGGTAATAATCGCGTCCGTATGTAACGACGAGAACGACTGGTCGAAGCACAACAGACGAGAAAGAGAGGAGAAGAAGAAGAAGAAAAAAAAGACACACGTCAAAACGTCGTACAGCAGTAGCAGAGAAGCGAACGAACGGAAGAAAAAAAAAAAAAAAGAGAAAGAATCACTTGCACCAGCCAAACGTCTATCTGTCTTTCTCTTTTGTGTTGATGATGGTGGCGTTGGATGTTTCTTCTTCTCGTTCTCGTCGATGATTCGCGAATTGTAGATAGGTACCTCTCTCTTTCTCTTTCTCTTGGCGTCGATATGTCACTGTCACTGGTCTCTTTCTTTTCTCGGCAGGCAGCAGCAAAAGAAAGAAAGAGAAATGTAACCGATCAAAACTATCAAAAGGTTCGTGTTGCTTCGTCTGCCTATATCAACGAACGACGAAAAGAAAGGAAAGAGAGAAAAAAAATTCTTCTTCTTCTTCTTCTTCTTTGGCTGTTGCACATCAAATAGTGGTCGTTATAGCAGGGAACGTGCACTTGTCCTCTTCGTGCGTTTACTTGCTATACACAAAAGTGAAATGAGAAGTAAAAGAAAGCAGTAAAATGGGCACAAAATGATCGGAGTGATTTCTTTTTATTTTTTATTTTATTTTTTTTTGTATCGATAAAAATCAGTTTCTTATTTGCAAGAATTACCTTTTCTTCCTATTATCATATTTAGTAATGAAAAAAATAAAAAAAAAATAAAACTATCAATTCAATCTTATATTTCTATCTTAAATATTTCAATTGTTCTCTTTCTTTTAGCGGACACGCTGATTTGTTTCATATATATTATTGTTGAACTCGTATATGAATGGTTAAATGAGAAGAAGATAGGGCATAGGGCAGTGAAAGAAACAGAACGAAAAGACGGAGGGATGAGGTCGTCGTCGTCGTCATCATCATTGTTATAATATTATTTGGTGAGGTATAATAAGAAGCAAGAATAAATGGTGAAGAGAAAGCACAGAGGTCATCGCCACAGTTTCAATATGACATATGATTGAATGAGAGAGAGAAAAAAAATAGTGACCTATAGAGTTCGATTATTGACCCTTTATTTGCTAAACATGTCTCAACATGTTAAGACTAAATATGTTAATCTTTAGTTAGATTACTTTTGAAAAGTTAAAGAATAAGTCATATTAATATATGATGTATCAATTAATAATCACAGATTGAATAATTGAAAAAACATGGCAATATAATTGAAGTGTATGCTGTTGTACACACGTTCTCTATTATTGTTTTTCTCGATTACTTTGTTAGATATATTCAATGAATAAATTTCAAATTTTCAACATTTGCCTTTTCATTTATTGATTTTCAATGTTTATAACTATCTGAATATTTATGTTGATTGATCACCCATTTAATGCTCATTTAAAATATTTTTATTTACAGCTTACAGAAAAAAAGAGAAATTCTTTTCATTTTATTTTCTTTTCGTTATTTATGTATTTGCGTCATTTTTTTTTAAACGTTGAGATTTGACGAATCAAAATCAAAGTTATTCGTAAGACATTTTGTCAGATAGACTAGCTAGAAAGAAAAAAGAACGTAAGAAATACTTAGATTCCTTACTATTATCAGAGCTAAAGCCTTAAGAGGATGAGCAGAAAAAAAAAATATAATCGAGCGAAGCGTAGTAATAGCAACGATGATGACAATAACAACATCAATAACATCACGAAGAAAGACAGGAAACAACGAGAAAGAAAGAGAAAGCAGGGTAAAAATGAATGGAGGAAGGCAAGACAGACAAATAAAACCAGTTGTAGGAAGGTGCAAAGGAAAAAAAAACCCAGAATGTCTCAGTATCGACGTATTTTTTTTTCTGCGTTTCTAGCATACAAAAAAAAAAGCAAAGTGATGATCTGCCGAACACTAGCCGTGTATTTGAATGTGTTACTTGGTCTTATTTAGAGTTGGAGTTCTTGTTTTTATTACTCCAATCATTTTTTTAATTATATGATCGACGTAAAAGAAGAAAATAAGGAACAAAGAGAGAAAAAAGGACAACATTGTGTTCGTATCCATGAAATAAAGTAATTTAAGGGCGGAAGTTGCTTACCGGTATTATTTGTAGGTTTGTTTTGACGTAGTATGATTTCAATCACTCAAAACGATGCTGCCATGTTCGACAACAAAAAAAAACATAGAACCGAAAAATAAAAGGATGTGAAAAAAAAGAATCGTGACGTAATGAAGCAATAACTTGACAGTGCCACGATAAAACGAACTAGCTTTGCGTCATCGCCAGACGTGTAGGTGGTCATGTCAAACTTTTTTTCACATTCTTTTCATTTTCATCGAATGAAGAAAAAAAACACAATACCAGATTGATAATCATGATCATATTAACATTTAATATACCTGTAATTCTCTATACTGCGCATTTGAAAAGTGTATTACAATTGCCAAACAAGCAAAAAAAAGGGAAAAAGAAAAAGTTGTCAATCATTTGTCATTCAATTTTTTTTTTCTTCTTCGGTTTTTATCATAGTTTTACTTGTTTACTATATAAATCTATCAAGTGCGTCTGTATTGTGACCCGAAAAAAAAAAACGATTAGACAGACGTAGGGCATATGATTCTAAACATTGAGACTCTTTGTCATTGATTTTTTTGTTTCGTTTCTTTCCTTCTTCTTTTTCATTCATTCATTCATTCATTCATTCTTTATTCTTCTACTAACATTTTTTTTTGATGGGCATTTGTGAGGAATGTGTAAACGGCACTGTAAGCACAACCATCAGTACGGACTCAATCAATAACAGAAAACGAGTACATATACATATTGTATAATTATGACGTTCTCTTGTCAACAACACATAGAAAGCGAAGAAGCAACAACAGAAATATGATGAAGTTGGCTGTAAATGGGGATCCTTTTTTTTTTCGCCACTGTGTTTGTCAAATGTTTCTTTAGTTTTTCTTTTTTTTTTCGGGGGTAGGCGTTGTTTGTGGTGGTGCATATGGGAGACTAGGGGACGATTTGTTCTTTTTCTCTTTTTTCGACATAACCGACGCTTTCTTCTTGTTCTCCTACCTGCAAGAAAGATCGGATGAGAGATAGGCTAGAGCGAATAAAAAAAAGAACGACAAAGAAAAAAAAGAGAAAACGACTACTAGTGAATGTAACACGAGCTACTAACATCACCCGATCTTATGACAGCGAATGATGTCGATGATGATGCCGATCGTGCCAGTCCGCACATCGCATAAAAGATAATATCCAGCTTGCACGCACACGCGCTACTACCAAATAGATCGTTATATGTTGCACGATTGAGACAGACAAAGAAAAGGCTTCATACGCATAACATTATATGTATATATACATATATAATTCGATTAACGTTGAGGTGATATGCTTGATATGGGCATGTATAAGAGAAAAAAAAAAGGAAAAATGAGCAATCAAACGTTCCGCAATATCTATGATATAATAGTATCAAACAAAGATAGAGATATTCTATGAATTGTTTCTTATTGTTGATTTATTGTTAAGATTTAGTTGCTTCACTACAAAATATACAACATACTGATAAATAGAAACAATATAAAATGTTTCTTTATGAAACCTTATAAATGATCAATCACTAAACTTTTACCTTTTTTTTTTAGCTTATAATACAAACAAATAGTGGAGAAAAATTGTTTCTATTACATACAAAAGTCTTTTTCTTTTTTGTTCGTTCTTTATCGAGGTACAGACTTCATTGTAATACAAAGATTTTAGCATTCATGACTATAATAAAATAAACATTCAAACTTACAAATCGATGAAGCGCAATTTAGACATGATCTCAAGGACAGACATAGCAAATGCAAATGATTTTCAAAGTTCAAATGATTCTAGTCAAAAGAAATCATATGAAAAACATTCATACCGTCATAATGATGAACATATAAAAAAAAAAGCTCTGAAATATGTTTTGTTCTTTCAATACAAATGAGTGTCAAATTTTTTCACATGTGTAAAACCAAATAAAAATGATCATCTTGTCTTACATGTGCCCTTTCTAATCCTATTAGACTGCATTAATACCCCAAAATATCAACTCCATTTATGTCATAGATCTCATACGTATCAGTCCATATGCCATAGGCTATAATCAATGATCCTTTTTCCTGTAATTCTCTTGCATTTCAATTAAATGTTTACATATTATTCAAGAGTTAGATATTTACCTAAAAAAAAAAGATCTTTCCTTGAGATTTAAGATGAATTGTATAGTTGAATTTACTGGAAATCTCTTTTTTTTGTTTAATCTTGACTAGAAAAACTAATAAATTAGACAAAAGATTTCTATTCGAAAAAAAAAAAATTCTCAGTTGTTTCTCAACAAATAATGTTCGAACTCGTTGCTTAAGTAGTCAAGTTAAATAGTTCAAATACACGATAAAGAAAAAAAAGTGTAACAGTTTTTATGACCCAATTTCTTATTTAATTGAGAATTGTAAACATGAAAAATAATTTTGTTGTAAAGCTATCTAGGTTATGTCGTATAATGAGCTCATTAGAATCGGCAAAAAAATAATCTTGAGGACGGCTTTTTTTTTTCTTTTTCCGTAAGTTGATTGTTTCTATCAACAATAAATTTAAGCATTCATAAATTCAACGGCATTTAAACAAATTTTAATTCAATGAGTACTACTTGTACAGATACATCAAATGAAGAATATCAAAATTTTTGGCTCGATTATTTTATTTCAATTGGTTATATTGATAGTTCAGGCTCATATAATTCTCATGCACCATATGGCAAATGTACAAGTTCATTATTATGGATAACATATTTAATAAATCTTGTTCATTTTTTTCTTCTATCAAGTGGTATTCTTTATCTATTTAGTTTTCATCAAAGTTAGTTTATTAATTTGAAAAATTTATTAAATGATAGTTTTATGTTATTTTGTTTTTAATCATAGATAAAAGTGGAAATTGGTGGCCATTTATGACTTGGATTTTATCATTCATATGTCTTATTATAGCTATTATTTTCTTTATACTTTGGAGTAAGAAGAATCTTTAAAAAAAAGTTGATGTATTTATTTGAAAATTTATTTCTTTGGTGTTTAGATTTAAATATAAATGTATTTTCAATTCTAATTATTGCTTTTCAATTATCAACATTGATTATTTTATGGATTTCAATTTTTATTGTCTTTCCATTTGCATTTACAATTGAATATCGTTATCAACGATGTTTATTCTTGTCTCTTATTCTTTTACTTTTGATTCAAATCGGTTGTTTAATAATACAAACTCTCATTACATTACATTGTATTTTTAATCTCAAATTTGTCTCTACATCTTTGGATTATGGTAACAAAAAAAAAACATATGAAAGTTAATTAACTAGAATTGGTTTCGTTTTTTTATCTTAGGTTATTGGTCAGCAATCATTGCTGCTATTGGTACAATTGTTTCAACTCTTTTATTAGATCATATTTTCATTTGGTGTCGTAAGTCAAATTTAATAATACGATAGATAGTTTGATAAACTAGAATTTCAAATAGGAAATCAACAAGGACCAACAAGAGTTAGTCCTGTATCACCAAATCAATCGATTCATCGACCTACATCACCTCTTGATCCAGCAGTATTGGCCGATTTTCAGCGTCATTCAGAAGCACGTTTACATCATATTTACAGTAATAAAGATGGAACAAGGCATTTTCGTATTATACCCGGAAAGCAACGTATGACGTTTCAGTATTTGCAATACTATTTATTTTATTTTTTTTGTCTATTCTAGATCCGAATGGTGCCCGAACAAGTGTAGCAAGAATACGAAGTCTTGGTAGCAGGACCGATGAACATAAATTATAAACGCAGTGGAAGATAACAATTTTATTTATGTAAACTTCTCATTTCTAATAAACATGATGAGAAATGTAAATAATTCCACCAGAAAACAGAGAACATTGATGGAAAACCATCAGAAATACATCTCTATTGGAACACGTTGTTTTCAAAAAGTACTTGTCAGAGTAGGGTCAGCAGTAAGGCGGATTGTAGGATACGAATGTCATAACTTGTCAAACTGCAAGTAATTCTACACATTAGATATTGTCAAAATCTTTTTTAATGTTATACAGTAAGAAAAAGAATAGAAGTGAAAGTGAACTGACAACCCAATTAGATTGGTCACAAAGATATTCAACGGAACAAGATGTGCCGCTAATCTATTCTTTATACATATAACTATACAAATGTACATATAGTGTTTTAATTTTGTGTTTTATCTTATTCTTCGAACAATAATTGAAACAATTAACATACAACACGAACATTGATCTGTAGTATCTACAACAAAGTTTAACATTGCCAATGAGATACCAAAAAACAAAAAGAAAACAATTTAGTCCTTCAAATGATGTTATGAAAAAAAAATTCTTTAATATTTCCATAACTTGCTTTATAAGCAAAATTGTTGAAAGGCATTCATAATTGATGTTTGTGAATTCTAAGGGAGGAGCGAGTGATGAAGTTGTATAACAGCATAAAGAATGAAAAGATTCTACTATGAATAACACATTTAAGATTAAATAAGTCTTGAACGATCTTTATGAATAATCTCTTATTTGGAATTCTTGCGAGTTCAACTACATCGAAACGTGTTTTCAGTTCATTAGGTCGAATTTTGAAAAAAAAGAAGACAATCATTAAATCTAGATATTGTTGTTGATGATTAGAAATTTTCGAGATAAGTATATTGTTTTGTGTTTGCTCTGATGATTGAAACAAATTGAATGAGATTGCATAAAAAACTGATATAAAAGCTTGGATCTTTCTCTAATGCCAAACAGGGCCAATTACAGGTCACAATAATATGCCCTAGAGCCATCCTTCTAATATATCTCTGATTATTATGACCATCACTGTAGTCATGTAAAAGTGAATTGTCTGGATGAACAAGTTTTGAAGAATCGAACCATACCGACATAAGTACACTAGCAGAATCTCTACGAACGACTAATGTATTGGTTCATTCAGTGTATAATGGAACTTACTATATTGTTGAATGGAAGTATATACATATATCAGGGCTCGAAACGGGACACTTTTTCATGGTCCGACCAGTCCGAAGGAAATTTCGTTTACGAAGACTTTTTCCAATAGAATTTGGAGAGCACTTCGGTAATTATCAATGTACTTGAAAGAAAATAACTGGCGTTATGTTGAGTTTGATTAGTCTAGATTCTCGAAATTGAAATAAAATCAATATGTGATAACTTGCATCGCTTGTTAAATCAAACAAACAAAATATGTCCTAAGATATTTGAACTCAATAACGATCATTATGCATAATTCGTTGGCTTTTGGTATAATTTTTTTCATTGGGGACATGTATGGAAAATGTGCCATATTTCAGAGTGAAAATGGTTTTTTTTTCGATTTTGACCAGTCAGTGAATTAACACGTGGTCGACAATAGTATGTTAACAGGAAGAAAAAATGTTTTGATACCTAAAGTCTGGAGGTTCATCTTCAGACTTTAGGTATCAACATTTTTTTCTAGCCACTTATAGATTATTTTCTACTGCGTGCTAACTCGTTGTATAATCAAAATTGACAAAAGCTTTCGCTTGGAAGAATGATAAAGACCTATGGGATTGCCACTTTTCCAGAAAATGGTAGTCCTCTCATGAATTAGTCATTATAATCAAAGTTGAAGAATTCGATAAAGTATTATTTACATCTTGTACTCTCGACGACGGTTCATTTTCGACACCTTTTTTTCTGTCAATTACTCTCTCATGTTCATTAAGGCAATTTATGCACTACAGAAAATTGCGTGTGGAAGAGCAATACAACTGTTTTATACGATTGCTATTGGCCTATCATATTAATTATCCCTGAAATTAAGATACTTTTTCTATTGTAAAACGTTTTTCATAATATCTAGTATTTAAAGCAGGCGTATAGTTTGGTAGAAAAGTACGAAAAACAAACTATAAAAAGCGTCGCCCACCCAACCTGACAATTTTTGCGGATCGGCCCGTTTTAACGCCTGATATATACATATACAGAAGACAAGATGAAGAAGTGATGTAGGTGTGAGGAAAATGAAGACCTCAATCACACACTTACACCAATATTCTGGAACACATGCCTTTCTCCAGAATGTGAACATAGAACGATAATATCTATAGCAATAATATGGAAGTTCTTCGTTGAATGATGCAACTCAAGAAAACCTTAAACCTGCCATATGTGAAATGCTAAGGATTTTGAAATTGATGGAAACCTAGAGAACAAACGCTGCTTCCTGTTAAAAGTTTTCGCACATAATTGACGTTTGTTCTTTGAACAACATATATCTGAATAATGAGTCACGATGGTTGGTGCAGACCTCAGGGTGATAATTATTGCTCGGTTATAGATCAAAACAACCAGCTAGTAGAAGAAAATGCTCGAAATTAATTCAATTCTCGTTACAAGACACTTGGACCAGAAGATAAAGTTGTATTGTAATATAGTATTTTTCACAATTTATTGTAGTCTGTAGTAATTTCTGTGCAAAAAAAACATCGGACATTGTCCACATCAGTTCTAAGGATTTATAGATGCATACTGGCTAATAGAACAAACTACACAAATTGGCAAATAAATGCTTCAGCCTTGGAAGAAATCTATTACATTTGATATATAGAAAACATTTTCATTCTATAATAAAGGAGAGTCAGTGGCACTTCTAAGTTGTAGCGAATGGACAGAGACTTATTCAGTGATGAAGAAGGCTCAATATAAATCTTGCCAAAAAATAGTAAATCACTCATCTTCCAACGACATCTTTTCAAGTTTATCTCAGCCGTTGCACAGCCACTTCAAGAAGGTTTATTTCCAAAAAATATTCATTGGTACAATTGAATATCCAATAAAAAGAATAAGTCCATTTCAATTCAAACACATATGATTTTATAATAAGATGTTACATAAACGAATTAAGAAAAAATAAAAAGATGCTTCTTCGTCATCGTGAATGGGAACAAATAGTTAAAACAAAAATAAAACGTTTACCAGCTATTTCCATTCTCCGATAGACACTTCTTCGTCATGTAACTCAATCACTTGATCAAATAAATGATGAAGATATAAAAAAGAATATTCTTTGGGAAGAAATAAATTGGTTAAATCAATATTGGGCTCAACCTCCACCAAAATCACGTATAGCTGAAAAATATTGGCAAAGACTATTTCGACATTCAAAAACTTCAACAATTCATATAGATGATGAATCATGTTTCATACTTTGAGAAAGCTTCAATAGGATATACTTTTGACAATTGAAATAGAGCATTCAATAAGTCGTTAGAGATTGAGACTATTGAAATGAAGTCGTATTGCACAAGTTTCTATAACAGTATATTGGCAAAGCATCTTTTCATTCGTTGATGATAATAATCATTAATATAGAAACTATTCAACTTTGAATCTCTCTGACTAGTTCATCAAATATGGATCTGTGTTCGATTATCAGTTGAAATAGAACATGTGTCAACAAAGTTTCATCAAAATGAATCTTTTGAAACTTGGTCATTTTAAACAAATCACTTACATCATAAGCTAAGTATTAACGAATACTTTTCTAATCAACTGAAAAATATAGCTAGTCAGACAAAGAATCAAACAAGACTTCTTTAAAAAAAAATTCGTTCCTTTATACCTTGATGCGACTGATTTATATTGTTGGTTAAGGTCTAACTAGAAAAATTCTCTATTATTGAAAGATAATCGTAAATTTAGAAGATCATTTATTTGATTCATGAATATGAGATATGGACAGATACATGAACAAATACAAGAAAAAAAATAACAATAATAATTGTTTCATCAAGAGAAAAAATAGACAGGTACAAGAAAAAAAAAATTGTTGCAACAAAAGATAATATAGACTAGTAAAAGAAAAAAAATGATTATTGCTTTACCAGAACACAGGAATCAATACAAGAAAAAAAAATGATATTGTATCACCAGAAGACAAAAAGATAATACTTGACACCAATAACATAACAATATCATCAGAATAACATAACCACAACCAATACCTGCAACCACTATTAAGAAAAATATAAAAGTTAGTCGATTTTGCGACAAACAGTTTACCTTGATGTTATTTTGGTGTTTGCTCGTTTAATTGCATTTTCAATTTAAATATTTCAAATTCACGTTTCATTTGATTATGTTCAGTTCGAATTTGTTCAAGTTCAGTTTCAAGTTGTTCACATCTAATTCGAAAATGTTCCTTCTCTCAAGTTGTTGTTTCCAATTGTCGTTGTAAAGGTTGATGATCATGTCGAAGTTGATCCATTATAAATTGATTGAAAGTAGCGAGAGGTGGTGCTGGACGTATTCCTCCCATTAAATTCCAAATAAAAGTGTTAGGTCAACGTTTGTGATAATGTTATAATAGAATATAAAGGGGTCTTACCATGATGGCCAAAGGTAACGTGATCAGCTAAGGAGGGGATGTGAGATCA